ATTGCTAGATGAGAACGAGCGGAACGAAAAAGCGTCATTTGTACCGATAGTGGGTGTTGCTATTGCAGCAAGGTAACAGCTGGAGAAATGTAAATGTAGGCGGGAGACTAAATGCGATGACGGTTGATGTCGGCAGACGAAGAAAAAGCCAACGGCGGTACCATCAATGTTACCGTTGCTGAACTATATCAAGCCTGCTCAATGGAGGGAGGTCTATGGAGAAAGCGGAAGGCGTTTACGGCTGGTTTCAGAAGCGCCTGGTTAGGCCTGTATACTTCTATCAGGGTCACCTCAGCACCGGTTAAAATCGTTCGAGCACCAAGACAGGGAATGAGTTCAGGGCTGATCTATTCGATTGGTTTCGACAGAAAACATCTCACGCGGTAGAACACTGCATATGCGTTTAAGGAGACCACAACGACCTGTACACGTTTACAAGAAGGAAACGATTCTTGTTGGAGTGTGTCGAGCTGCTGTTTTAGGGATTCCTAAGAGACATTAAAGAACCGTGTTTGAATGGCGATTCTGTGAATCGCTTTGCTATGGCTTCGCCGCTAGCCTTCCTGACCCTTGTGCACGCAGCGACCGACTGCACGTATTTATGGTCAAAATTGAACAATTGGTCAGTTGGCGTTCGTAGTGAATAAATAATCTGTTTCTGCTCTTATTTGTAGGTTGAAACTGCGGTCTAATCTACGTTAACCAGGAGGAGCAACGCAAACAAATCTAACAAGGTTCAACAACAACTTAAATATGGCCTGTCTTAACCGTGCTATACGGCTTAGCTTACTACACACAAAAAAAAAAACGGAGAATAAAAAAGCACACGTACAGGTTTTAACCTTATCGCGGTGACGACGTTGATCCGATACAGTTGTGTGTTCAAATGTGGCCATCTCTCAAAGTTTATCTTATTCTGTATTGGAAACTAAATTTTTGCCTGAAAAAGCCAGGGATCATTAATTTAAAACCGCTATATGATGGATACTAGAATGTTCCTGGTGTGAAATAGTTATGAATTTGTTTTAACATTATTGAGAGTGCGACCCAGTGCGGAAATTATTAATGATTTCGATAGCTATCCTCTATAAAAGACATCCAGCCTTGCATACCTAGAATCTCATCTAGAAAGCTGACTTTCTATAGTGTTACGTCAACGAGATTACAAGAAGACCGGAATGAAGAAACCGACGGGGTGAAGTTGGTTTGAAGCTAAAAATAGCTTGCAAATATCAATTAAATTAATAAATCTTAATTAAAATTTTTGACTTGTCAAATAAATCGTAAATGTTGTATCAACATTTATCAATACAATAATAAATGCACCTCATGGCATGCATTTTCTGCGGGCATAATTTCATTTGTGCACAGCCAACTTAAGTAGATATCCGCATTGCTATCAATTCCTCTTTAATGCACCGCTCACTTATGCAGTTTTCCATCTTGTAGATTATGCCCAGACTTGCTCGGTCTTGAACTGCCCGTCAGCCTTGGACTAGAACGTCTGTGTCATGCTGCGAAATGCTGGGGACGATAGAGCTACGGTGCAATAATCACCTAAGGGTGCCATAATTTTTTTTCTAGAGGCTTTAGCAGCAGCAGGAGTAACTATGGTCACAGGGGAGTAGAAGGGTATACCATTCGTAGAAGTCGTCTCAGAAACGGCCACACTAGAGCAAATGCATGGGCATGTTAAATGTTCGTGGCATCTGCTTTTGCCTTTGTCGCCAACCCGCACTACTTGCACTGACTAGACGTGGTCACATTCGCTTATATGCAGTATACGTTCGGGACGACAGCATATTGCCATAGAGCCTTGCGATAAGCCGTACGGGAAGAGGTGTTGGTAAAAACTTGCCCCTTTGGGCGTGACAAGCTGGTGCTACTGCAATGATTCACTTCGACGCAAAAGTGTTGAACGGTCGTTGAGTGCTTGTAGCAGCAGCAGCAGCAGCAGCATCAGTCGTTCGCAGAAACACAGAAAGTAGCAGCACCGGCATTAGCAGCTAACGTTAGATAGAAATCCCTCTAGGGAAAACGTATTCGAAGTAGTTAAGAACCTAAGCAAGCGAGATGGCGCCACTAGCCAGGCAGCCAAACGTTTGATTTGCAAGCTAAGCTTGGCGTCAACATGTAAGTACGTGAAGGCGGTGCACCGTGTACGAACATACAAATGTCCTTTGAATGTAGGTACAAACAACGTTGAGGTTGAAAGGAATCAAGCGCTGTGTTCTTATAGGCGTGTTGTTGTTGTTATTATTATTACTATCGTTAAGTCATCATATTGAGCACGAGTATCTGCTTAGCTATGCTATCAGTTCTAGAGAGTCTATTTTACGAATCTGAAGGCTAGTCTCTCTTCGAAGAGGATTGAGAACATCCATATTTAACGCCCCTGGACGGTTTTCGATGATGACGCTACGGGATGATCCTGCCATACGTACAGCCATGCCCTCAAGTCACTTCGTGTCTTTTTCTGAAGTTCATTTCAGCTGCGCATCGATTGTTGGGGTCGAATCGTTTAGGTAGAAATAAGAACCGTAACCTGTATTTGCGGTGTTTTAACACGACAATATGATTATTCCATGATAATACCGATGAAGAAAGTGTCATGACAAAAAATCAAGAGCTAGCGTTAATTGTGTTATTGCATTTGGCTCTAATGTTTGTTCGTTAGCCATTAAACACATATGTTAAAGGTAATTCGTATCATCTTTAGTTTGGTAAAAAAAAAACTAAAACGTTTCCTGCAGTTGAAATTTCATGACGAAATGTTGAAAAAAACTGTTAAAGCCTTATCCAGTACATATAGACGTGTATTCACGTCATATGTTCCAGAGAAACTATGACGGAAACCGATAATGTTCTGGTGTCTTTGAAATGTGCTGCCTGTTAAAGGCTGTCTTGCGATACAGAACTATATGGTCAATTCAAAGTACGACAAAAAGCAATGTAAATAACAGGTGGTGCCTATTATATTTCTGACTTATCTATTCCTGTCTAAATTGCAGATATCGAATTGATAATAAGGAGCTCCTCATAACCACACTTTCTTAACTACTTGAAGTTCTTCATTGTCCGCAAAATCCAATTATTCTTTCGGTAATCGAACTTAAAAAAATCACTAAAATCCAATTCTAGATATGTTTTCCCCGCTATAACCCAATTGCGCCCCCTTACATGCCTTAGCTAGCATACCTAGTTAATACTAATCTGCAGCAATAGTTCGCATTGTTGACTGGTTGCAACAAGTGAAAGTAAATTAGGAAACGCAGATCACACGCTGATGCCGAGTGATCAGCACCGGCGAGTATCTCACCTTGCTCCCCGATCTGCTTTTTTCACTCACGACAGCTTGGCCGTCTGCCTGAGCTAAGCAGAAAACACGGCAGTGACGTCCAATGAGGTAGTGTTTAAGCCACCGGTCATAGCACCGGGGGAAACCAATCTTGGTCTGAAGGCGCCCCGATGATTTCCGTAGGGAAAACTTAAAATGGAAAATGATGTGCCCCAGGAGAATTTAAGGGAGGTAGAGGCAGCGAACGACCGTTGGCGGTTTCCAGTCGTTTCGCTTCCCCGGTGTCTCTGGCTGTGCAAGCATCGTTACTTCGCTTCGAGGCCTGGCAACTTGTCTCAATTAGGATAAGACAAGCGGGCGTTCACGCTGGTGTCACTTTACGACCGACCATTGCAGCACCACTATCACTAGCAGCGTCTACGCTAGTGCAACGGCAGCGGCCTGGCCGGCCGGAATCAGACAATCGCATTGCTATTTCACAATAGGCCGCTGGGTCGTGAGGCCGCCGTTCGTCTGTGGCCAAAGCCCAGCCTGGCCTTAAAAGCTAGAAGGCTCTTTCTAGACAATCCAAGCAAAATTAAACACGGCGACTACTCTCGATGATCTCTGTTGACGACTAAACGAGACTATCTCGCAATTTCAAATACAAAATCTTGACATTGACTCTGTTCAGTTACTGTGTGAAGATAAGCTTTATTGATGTGGCACTCGTGTAACCAACAGATATGATGTACCGAAAAGGTTATTTTGCTCAACCGTTCTATATATACGTTTCAGTCAGGAAACGTCCTGGGTGAGCGTTTTATTAGTAAGCCAGTATATCGTACCAATGATAGATGAAATGCTGCGCCTGATTGTTCTTATAGTGAACATTATATAGACGACCGATTCGTGTAATTATGGCTTGATGACAACTACGACACACAGCGGAAATGAAAAATCTCCACGAACGTCACACATCTGTATACATGTGCTGCACGCCATTATACCTATCTGACCTTTGAGGAAGGCCAAACTGACACACGGCTCTATTTCTGGAACTACAGGAACAAAAAGCTGGCAGGCAACTCTTACGAGCTGCTAGAGAGAAGTGACGTAACTAATATATTAGGTTACTCGTAGAAAAAATATTCTGCTACGCTTTTTCGTTTTTGTTAATGTTAGACAAGATATTTTTTCGCTTTGTCGTTATGGTCGTTTCGTTGTATCGCCTAGAAAACTATGTTGACTTTCGACTGAACTATCTTTGCCACAGCGGAATCAAAACGCGGCCGAAACAGCTTGTAATAATTGTGGTGCTTACGGTGGTTACTATGTGACGTTTGTCATTGTAGACTCAAAAAATACGCTAAGCTTACTCCGAGTTCGACGAAACTGTCTTACATTGCCTTTTCCAAGATGCTAGTTGTCAGATGAGCTCATACCTCGTAGCTATAGTCTTCTACTACGCAGGACAAATTTCCTGGATTACCTCTGCAGCTTCTTCGGTACTGGCGAAAAGTTAGCGTACCGATTTCAATTATTTTTTACCCAAAAGTCCTATCGTGGAGCCTGAATACAACGGTGATATTTGTGGCCTGGACAAAAGAGGAAAAAATGCTAAACGCTGGATAGGAAACGAGTTTTTCAGTAATTTATAACACGATTATCATCCGTAGACCAAAAAGTAGGACAGCAAAGAAATAATGAAACGCCATTTATTTCCAAACAACCTACAGGTCCCGTCTAATCCTAGACTACAGGCACATGCCCATGCTATTGCTGACAAACGCCACATCGATTGCCCGCTTTGTGATATAATATCACTTACAAAAAAACATGAAGAAAAATCAATACTCGAAGGTGGGCTGAGCATAGAAAACACGAATATGCCGTATTAGCAATCGTTGCCGTAAAAAATCTGAAACTAGCACCGATCTTGCCGTGGCCGTGGCTTCATTGGCCGGCTTACGCTCTGTATGCAAATTCACACGACAGCTTGATGTCGAGGGTCAAATAGCCTTCTAACGCTTGAACAGTCCGAAGATAAAATCTTTGTAAATCTGCAGTTATCTTGGCGTAGAAGGTAGCTCCATCTTGTATACGGTCTCTCGTAGAAGCAGCCGCGAACGATGTCTGCATATGAATATACGTACTATCGTTAGATAATACGATGAACTGGATACCCTGTTTACTCTTTAATTAAGCAAAATTCGACAGTCTACATCATACAGTATAATAATCAGTAAACAAACAACCAACTAGAAGCCTTCAACCGAACCAGTATATACAACGTACACGATGGTATTAGACTTTTCACAAGCGTCTTGATCCATTTTTTTTACTTCATCTTTTTACATTGACATATACCAGTAAGTCACACTTGAAGTACAAATAAGAAAGCAAACTCGCAGTATCTCTAGTTATTTCTGATATAGGTAAAGTGGGCTAAGCGACGATTCAAACGGTTCGTGAAAGTTCACCTATTTATATGATCGATGAACAGTTGTGCATCTTTTGCCGTGGTAAATCTCAATCCAATCAGAGCCCACTCTCCCGCTTCGTCACAGGATTCGCTTTTGTAGGATGATCTTATGGGAGCAGGAAAGAACAAATCTGGATATCCCGAATTGTTTAATTGCGTACAGGTCATGCGAGAATGCACCCAGGTCGCATAGATGTAATGTCCAAGCTAATCAAATCATCAAATAATCACCATTTTGACGCGTGAATAGAATTTAAAGTTTTATTTGAAAAACTTTCCATAAGACGAACCACCTTTGTATTCACACGACCTAGTTAGATACAAAGGCACTTACACATACGCACCATACACAGCGTCGTACGAACCAATAAATCTCTCCGTTGAACCACATATATATATATAACCACAAAATTTGACTGGACAATGTATAAATCGAGAAATCTACATCACTGCATGTACTTACGCTGTCATTGATAACAGTGATCATCGCCCGACCCGCAAACGGAAATACCCGAACACTGACATTAGCAGCGATCTTCTTCCAGTGTCCACGAGGACGCGAGAGAGACGGCCGCGAGCCTTGTTCCTCGGTCAAGGTTGCTGACGAAGATGGCTGCGCCCGAGTCTTCTGTGAGACAGCGCTTGGGGTCTTCGAACTCGAAAAACTGATACCTGCGCCCGCAGAAGGAGGAAATGTTGGCGTAGGGGCTGTTCGCTGTTCGAGTTGCCTTTGGGCCTCTGGATTATCCCCCGAAAGCTCAGTGGGGCCAAGTTCGACTGACAAATTCGTTGTGGCCTTTGCAATAGGAGGTGGCGGTATGGGAACCGCTATTGGCGTAGCAACTACGGGTACAGGGATCAACGAGGCACTTGAGGCGCCGCCTACAGAGTCAGCGGTAGCACCTGAATAGTCTGTTTGCAGGTTGGCGCTATCTACCATTAGAGTTGCGGTTGGCCCGAGCACTTGTTCAGGCGAATCATAGTCGCCGGAAGTGCTTGTTGCACTGCAGCTATGATACGAATGGGCATGTTGACTTACTTGAAAGCGGAAGAGCGAAGCGGCTAGTAATAGTTTCTCTTCGGATTTCACTTCAGTTTCGTCGTCTTGGAAGGGCGGTGGAAGCATTAGGGGATCGCTGGCATCAACCGTTTGGTCGATGCGCGATCGACGGCGAGACTCTCGCTGACGACAGAACATAGCGACGCCCCAGAGCTATTAGTAATGATGTTTTAGGACAGAACGCGACCCTATTAAATCAAATGAATCTAAACAGCCTTCTACACGAGAAATATGCCACAAAAAAATCAACAAAGAAAGGATACAACTTATTTGAAAAAAGTGGCTATGCAGTCCTACGGGAGCGTGAACTTCTCGTGAGGTCCACATGTGGAATTTATAGTATCTGGATGAGTATATAAAAGAAACTAAAGAAAATGTATTGAAAATATGTTGGTTGAATTGGGCAGTACAGACAGCAAAATAGTACAACAGAACTGAGATCCAATACGATCTTTCTTCCCAAAATAACACACAAATACACAAAAAACAATTAAACGAGGTTATGGAAACGACGCTTACAGCTTTGGTAGTTCTTAACTGCTTACGAGTTTCTCTTCGGGATTCTTCGATAATATTTTGAAACTGCGGTTCTAACCGCTCTTCCTGGCAATCGCGTAGCTTTACCATCTCTTCCAAAGCTATTCGGAACTCTTCCAGATCACTTTCTGTAGGTAATCTATCAATGAAAAGACCGAATTTCAAAAAGTATCAGCGAAGGCGATACACGTAGCTTCATGAATATATAATCTGTGATTTAGGTTCAACTTGAAATAAATTGAACCTAAGCCACAGATCGATAGATTAATTACATTTGGTAGTTCTCAGTCAAAACTAATTTAGCAATTAACAATAGAAGAATAAACGTTTACCTAGCACAGCTTGTGTTAACTGTAGCAAGATAGTGTACCTGATGTAAAAAAACTTTACGCGATAATCATCGTAAATACATTGACTATGGGCAATCCTTAGCGTATGTTGAGGAGTCACAGATGTCAGACCAACAAGACGACCCAAAGGTATGCCTAAAAGGCCAGCATCCGAAGCAGAAGAGCTGCTTACGTCCAGATTAGAATCTGGTAAATCTTGAGGTTGAATTTCGATTCGAAGCCTTCGGCCAGGCCCGTCCTGACTCGATGGATAGACGCAGTCAGCCGTCAGGGGATGATATAACAGCACGAGGCTGAGGTCACCAAACACTTCCTACAGCAGCAATGGCAAAAACAAAATGTGATAATTCCTTTACTCAAAGGAGTCTGTTCATTAAATATGTAACCCAAACTAATTTCGGGGCACCGATATCGATAAAATACATTTGACCCATCTACCTAGGTGCCTGGGTGTTTGCCCTACTACGAAATCCGTAATAGATTTATCATTCTTTTGGGTGTGTTTTGCTAGAATCTATTACAAATATATGTGTCAAAAGCTGTAGGGGTTGGGGGCGGACTATCTTTTCGGTAGGACTTTTGGCTGCCTGTGCGTTCTTGAGCAGCTGCTACTTTGTGTTTTACATGGGGATCTATGTAAGGGGAATCGTTCACGGCACCAATAAACAGCCGTCTTGAACCGAATATGGCTGCTGAACAGAACTATGTATAATTTCACATACCTAAATGATTGCTTTCACTATCAAAACGGGTAGATGCGATAGTAAACTTTGCTATAATAGAAATTTAGCCTTCGTGCTCGACGACGCTTGGAAAGAACACCACCGCTGCCGTGACACCGTTGTTGGCCCGCATAGCCACAAGCGTAACGGTACATGCCGCAGCTCAACTTATCTTTTGACAGATGCTGCACACTAAGAAATGCAATTTCCTTCGTCAATCAGGTGTACAGCCGCTAATGAACTCCAGCGAAATGCTTTTTTCAAGGCAGGACACCTTACGGAATATAGGGTGCTAGTACGTATGTCAAATGATCTATATCAAATGGCCCATGGTCTAGCGGTAGTATAACATCAATCCATTATATAGAGTTTTCTTGTGGACGCAAACATATGATGAATAATTACCAATTGTTCGGTGTGCTTACCTGATAGTTCGCTTCGCCTGAAGTCGAGTACGAGCATGTTACGTTGGGAAAAGCCAATTTTTTCAACAGCACTCCGCGTACAAGTGCAGCTTTCGCGGTATTAATTTCCATCGAACCCAAAAAAAAACTAACGTGAATTTTGCCTAGAAGAACATAAGATCGCTGAATTTATTGCTGTTAGAACATTGCAGTGCCCTTCGTCGGATCTATCGGATCTAAACCCGTAGCGTAAGCCTCGATGGTTGTTGAGTGGATTCTATTACGTAGCCAAACATTAGTATACCTTAGCACTACCAAACACTTTGTTCTTTCAAATGAATCGCTCTACGAACGTATCAACTTTCATTGCAACTGCTCTGGATCCTAACTCTCTCAGAATTTTGCTAGAAAAACAAAAAAAATTATGTTGAGTAACATGGATTATACAAACTACCGTTTAGTCAACCAGTCAGACAGCCTTTTGACAGAATGAAAATAGTCGTAGGCCAAATGCACATAACAAACTTCCTTTAGTTTCTGCCTAACTGAAAGACGTCATGAGAAATGTACAAATATACTCTTCGCCCTCTGGGTTTCGTATCGTGATGAGCTTGATAGCATCATCTATCTTACAAGGAATCTCGTGTGAGTTATTGTTATCTCGTTCTTACGCCAATATTAGCGTATGCTCAAAGCATGTAAAAAAACAAAGGTCCAGGTTTGAATGAAAGCTTACAGGGGCTTGATGTAACTTTTTATGTGGTCGTTCCCTTCCATCAATCGAAGGCTCTTCCGGGCCATATATATATGATTCATGCTTTTTCTAGATGGCGTGGTGGCATCGTATGGTATAAAACTAAGCAAAATAATAAACTCCTATGACAGAAATTAAAACGAGCACTGACCATCCTCGGTTTATTTCGATCGTGACAGCCTGGAGTCACTCATAGATTAGTCGGAAATCCCTTTTTTTTTTTCAATTATGCCACTTCAAATATACCGCTCCATTTGGTGCCTTTCCGGTCCATTCTTCTGGAAATGCGTAATATTTGTTTTCCTACATCTGTTTTCGCTGTCTGAACGCTTGCAGGCAACCATTACATGCAAAAAATGCCTATTCACCAGAGTGACAATCGGTTTGGCGTCAATAGAAGCAATGGAACAATTTGAACGATCATCACTCTGCTAAACTTACCACTGCACAGACTCAAAATCAGGTTTTTCTCTTTCGGACAATTAAACCCTGAGGGAAATCAGGACTAAATTGACTAAAAATAAACGTGCATAGTGTTCGGCGTTTAAAGAGCATATTTCACATTTGGTTTCGTTTGTAAATATACAATTTGTGCACTTGTGGGTAGGTCGACGACTTGTACCTTACTTTCCTGCATAATCAATGATAAAGTCAATAATAATATATGAAACAGCCAGGCTTGCCCCAAAAAAAGACTTGACGATGATCGTAAAGTTCTTCAGGTCAAGTTGAACGTCGCCTATAACTAAATGTTGGAGTGAACCGATAATACAGGATAGGAAGCTGATCAACCATACTATTGCAGGCATACTCAGCGGTTTTACGTAAATCGTAATAAAATTAAAAAAAAATAATAATTCGTGGGTAACTTAGGTTGGTTGCTGTTTCTTTGGTGGTATATGTCAACATTCTAAGTAATGCTATGCTTTAGGCAAATAGAAGATTATCTTACTGTAGCTTCAGGCCGTCGGTTGTACTCGGGTTTAATAGCGTCGTTTTCCAACCTTTTCATTGGCAAATTCTATTCGCTTCTTCAGTTGAACTTGACGAGATCATAAATGCGCAAGGAAAGTTTAGGAAACTCCGAGTAAGCCATTTATCTTCTCATGATTTACTTTCATTCAAATCTAAATTACAACGTATGATTGTGGCTAATAAATGGAAAGTATGTGTTATTGTAGTAGACCGCTGAGTTAGCCTTAAATGCGAGCTGGCGAGAATTTTTTAACACTGACATTTAATTTTAATTGCGCTGATTAAAAAGATCTTCCACTATGACGCAGCAGTAAATAAGGCGTTTACGTTACAAACCGCATTTATTAAAAAATAAAAAAAATCATACCCAGAGAGCTGAATTGGTTGACACGAGCCGAGCAAATTCTACGCGAATCTTATTGTGAACTTAAATTGTAAGAGTTTAGTAAAAGTTCTATAAAAGGCATATAATTCTAAGAAGCTTCTTTGTATAATTTAATAAATCCAATAAACTGCCGCAAAATGTATGTTTAAATACAAATATCCAATGATTTATACAGAAACTCAATAATCACAGTTCAGCGGCACAACATCCGAAGGCGCTAAGTAAGTAGTTCATCCTGAAAAGTGACATCGTGCACGAAATCTTATCACAAGTATTTCAGATACAAATAATCCAAACCACTTCGCTCTATCTTATCGTTTCGAATGAAGGTGTAAACGTTGAAGTGACCTAGTGAAGGTCAGAACGTCAAAGAAACCATAAGGTTTTCACGATACGTAAATCTCGCTATCTATACGCAGTTGTTCTTATTAATACGTATTTTCATATTAGGTGTGCGTTCGTCTGGCTTAACAGCACCACCTAGCCCCTGCATGACCCAGTTTACATGCATATTCACATCTATTGTGCCGCTGGCGTCAACAATTACGTTAACACGACGTAACACGGGACGAAAGATCTGAAAGACGAAGCTTGATTAGACACTGGCAGGACCACTATGGGATAGTTCGTGCTCGTATACCATCGAGTTGGTCTCAGGCACCCTACCCCGTTAGGCCCTGCTTGCATAGTACCTAACAGAAGTGTATTCCATTTTGCCGTCGCTAATGTTACCGGGGTCGGACATATTCGCTGATTTGAGGCGTACTTACGCCAGTTTTGTAGACTTCTAATAAATCACTTTAATGAAGGTGGCAACAAAAGCATTGGAATGACGATTTTGCTGTTCCTTCGCTGATGCCTTTGGTTTCACCACCATCGTCACCGCCCATGTTCAACGTCTTAGTAACGATCCTTCATGGCTTGCCGTGTCCGACTAAGAAAGGGAGTACGGGGGGCAACAGAAAAAGTCTGAAAAGGGCTCTCGTACAATTCGGGACTAGACGACGAAGGCTTTCTCGGTCCCATCTGGTCTGCCACGGCTCAAACGTTGCGTCAGATGCTGCAGCAACATAACCAGCTACCAGAGGTAGAGGGTCCATTTTACTTATGTCACCATTCCACTTCCTTAACGCGCTATATGAATAGACTTGATGCCATTATACGCCGCTGCATCTTACTGACTAGCGACGTTATTTATATTCTGACAGGCGTATCAAGATTGCTGCTCTTTACCACCACCGTCGAGCGGGTCGACCATAGCTGCCTTTCCCCAGGTAGACTCCTTCTAATGTCCATGATTTTTCCAAGTCTGTATCGCTCGTTGTGACCTCGACTGGGCTCAAACTTGTCGCAATTTCACAGCGAGGCATGCTATGCAGAATGCCGCTGGCGAGTTTTCAGTTATTCTGCACGCTCAGCTCAGCAGCTACGCAGGCTTGCAAGCTTGACCAAACGAACGTGTCTATCAATCGCTAAAGGATCCGTCGATGTGGACGAACATGTCGGACGCAGACCGATCTACTGCCCGAACACGGTATCAACGTTAAGGTGGTACGACGCTTAACCATTATCTAATTTTTAGCATTGTGATGTTAGCATCTACAGTGCACGATTTATAGTCCCTCTTGGTAACGTAGTTCATTATGTACTGGTAATCTCTAGTAAGCTGGATATAATGTCTCGAATTTGCATAATATGTATTTATGTGGGTGCGCAAATCCTGCCATTTCTTCGTCACAGTGAGGCCTTAAATAGAACGAATGACGACGTCGATATGAATGAGATAGGGACGGAGTGAGGTTGCTTTTCCTCATGTAGTATATGCTAGGTTTCAGCCTCTAGATACAAAGCTGGAATAAAGAAGAACAAGGGAAAAGAACTAATGAATATGCACATGTGAAAACACCGATATTTACCATTGTCCTTATACGATGCGAGAAATAATAAAACTGAAGCAACGGAATAGATTTACCAGGCATAGGCAATTGTTGTTAAGTGATAATAGTCTCTACTGCCAAATCGTACTACTATTATTATTATTACCGTGTATTAATAAAACTGCCGATATTTTATTAGAGTATTCTTACAACTAATAGACTACGACAGTGAAATACTCAACGGAAATGAAAATGTTCGCTAAGGAGGAAGGATTGATTCCTTTCGCGTTCTTGCGGAGGTTGACCTGCTGGCATCAACCTTCAGGAAAAGTGTCATGTCGTGTGCTAGTTCAAGCAGACGAAACCTGACAGGCTCAAAGGAAAGACTAACTCAAATTAAAGCCTAATTCTAATCGTGACCAATCCTAATTGGACTATGCAACATCAGCGACAAGCTTCTGCCCTGCACGTATGACTAAATAGATCCCCACATTCAACGTGATTCTGTTGTTGGTGTGGAAATTTTAACTAAACTTTGGGTCACAATAAATTCAAATAAACAAATAAATATATTTCCCGGGCTATTCGTCTTATCCAATGACACACGCCCCAATTGTTGGCGATCACGCGTGGAAATTAACAAATTCTCGACGTGTTCAATAAGAACTTAAGTACGTTTAAAACTTAACAGGTGGTCAAATTGCACATGATTATGAAAGATGCCTTGCTTATTTTAGTTATACCCATTTTAAGCAAGTTATACGACAAATTCAAGCGAGAAACTTCAGTCAAAACGTTAAATAGGAATGAAGTCGCTGCGTTTCCCTACACCCTGAGGGAGGAATAATTCGCATTTAGAGTAAAGGAGATCGTGGTAATGATTAGGCCGCACGCTAGGCCTGTAGACTTAGCACGGAAAGGTGCTCCATTCAGACGGATCATTTACCGTTTTTATTTATGTGTTCATTTCGTTCACGCTTATATATGGTCGTCGCATTAGGGAAGGTAATTTGACGCAATTTGCGAACGGAATGGTAATTTCTAGCGATTCAGATCTGCCCAGATTCATATTGCCGTGACCTCTTGACCAGCTTGCGATCCATCTAATTAGTGACCGACCCGGCTAACCTTATTCAGCAAGTTAATTCACTCTTAATTAATGCAGTTATAACTCGATATCATTAATAACCAATTTATGCTAGTTATCTTTACATGTAGGAAAGTTTCAATTAATTTATTTAAAACCCACACTTCTTGTTTATTTTCTCTGCTATATGAATGTATCCGCTCTAGGCCACGGAACTCAACCGACTACTGAAGGAAAGTCGAGACGATTTTATTGAAATTTTGCCCATCCAAAAATACTCCAGACTTTGACCATGATACTAAGAAAACGCGACTAACCGCATTATTGTAAAGCTACGCTCTTGCTGAATGAAAAAAGACAGGCTAGATAACGGAAGGAACTTATCATTTACGAATATTTTTTGAGCTTCGTGTACTGCCAGCTTCCCTGCAGCAGCGCAGAGAACCCTGCTAAACTCAAGCACACTTAGCCACAATTCCTCGAGTTTAGGATAACGCATCAGGTCACGCTCAATATGACTGTGCCATGTTATGAAATGACGCACTGGTTATCAATTCAAATGTTTTTTTTTACCTCATTAATGGTTATGTATTTTCAATGTTGCCCCCAGTTTTTCTTTAGCCTTTATCGCAGATCAGTCGCCGAACAACTCTATGTTGACTTGCCTCTACAATACAGCCGAGGACCGAAGGGTAATCAGTTATTTTTCTTAATAAGCTTATGAACCGTGTCTGCTACCAGCTATATCGAGGATTCCTTTAGGTTCTATTGTTAGGTCATCTTTTCTCTCACCTATTTGACTTACGGTGTCCCACAGGCCGCCTAAAAGTACTTGATATTCCTTCTCATTGGTATGCTACGGAAGTGCAATGGATCGCTGAGACACGTCGCTTGTAAAGGGACCAAAACTCGTCCGGGGGTGGCTTAAGGAACATCATGTACATCATATTGATTGATACATCGTCGTCCGTTGCTCTTTCGAAGGAGGCGTGCTCCGAGTCGCTGGCATCCCTCTCCAACGAAGGTGCCTCCACTCAAGGCCTAAGCCAAATTATGGCTATTAAGTATCAAAATCATACGATTTAACACGCAGTGATTACAGACACGTGCCGATGGTGCAGGTAACGCCACCGACGGCTGAGTCACGTGATTTATTTTTACCATGCATACTATGGGGGTACGTTCAACTTGTAGCAGATGTGAGGGAAAGGCACTAACGATCTGAGCTGACGGACTCTAGATAATAATAGTTCCTGCGAAATACAATCGTTTCTACATTACGATTCATTTATACTGAACCTGTAACATAGGTATGTATGATGTTAACAACGTCTATTTTAAGAAGCCAGCAAATAAAGGGACTGGTTGACTGAAAGAATAGGAAACATTTTTTTTTCTTCATTTATTTCCGTATGAATGAGACGCTCCGGTTACGATGGAGTCTGTTCAATATACATAGTTGTACTGTATTTTTGTGTATGGGTTAGCTAAGCAGTATTATGTGCTTTTTTTTCTTGATAACTGGTGCTTTTGTTCATTGTTGATAACAGATGTCTTCTACCCCGAGCCCAGGACGACAAACATGGATGGCATTCTTTCTGCTTAACAGGATTTGCCCGGCCAGCCGCTTGTTCCTCAGAGTATAACAATAAGGAGCCCGAGAAGCTAGATACGATTAGACGTCTAACAGTGGATTATGCACCACGCGCCTCGATGCCATTTTCGCAGTATGCTGCGGTAGCCCTGATCCTTTCTTGAATCGCCGTAAGAATGGTCTGCTACGATATTCTTCTTGAGATGGCCTTCTAGTAGTATAATATACTATTACGTCACATCAACGGACACCTATTAGCTTAGCCTTACTGTCTTATTGTCCTGCTACTGTGACGCCGAAGAGCGCTTATCGAGCTTCGTTAGACGTGCCGAACTAAGTATTCTAACTTAGTAAGTCTTTTGCCGTTGCGTCAGCCGACTAATAGAACAACGCCACACGATATCTCACGGATAGTCCTACTGTAACAAGCATTGTCTCCGGCGTAACAGAGTAGTTGGTATCGGTATAAACCAAGACTATGGGTGTGCTAGGGGATTCTATATGTTCGTGTAATACTGCAAGTCTTCTGTGTACATAAACGGAAGAACGTTATGAAAATTGATGTTAAAGCAAGTACTTGACCGATCCTTCGATAGGTAAGCAGGTTGAGCTAGGGGTTCTTATTCTAAACTGCTTATCTCCCATTGTTTCATGCAATATCGTAGGATAGATTCGGGCGGGATGAAAGCAGTTTCATGTGCTTGATAATGACCGCTTGTTTTCGCAACGACTGAAGCTTGGCTTGAAAAAAAAAAGTCCTCTTCCTTTTGGGAAAAGCGCTGCACGTAATGACGCAATGATTTTAGCTGAGCGACTTATTCGCAATGAACAGAATCTTCAAAGGCTCTACATATCATCAGAGAGAATTATTTATCCGTCGAGTTCCCTTATAGCACACATTGGTTAGAAAGCTCTAAGGTAACGGTTTAGGTGATTTCAGACAGAAAGAGTAGATTTAGATGCTTTAAATTCAGCTATCGGCTGGCAGTAACAGCTTGCGACGATCGTAAATCAATGTCTATTGTAACTTGAACGCGAGGTACGTTGTTTGTAGGGTTACAATACGTTTATAGCCCTACAACGTATCTGCTTTCCACGAATTCTATGAGGCCGATTTCGTTTACAATATCATCCTAAAACATAAACCTCAACTTAGCTTAATACGTCGGATTTTTTTTCAAGAAATTTCATTACAAATAAATCCTGGAACAACTAAGCGTCATATGTTCGGAACGTCTCCGAGTTATTATTTGTCGAGGAGCACATTTCGTGAAATACATTATAACACAAATCTGTTCTTCTAAAATCACTTATACTTGTAAGTGTGCTTACCTGCATATCGCTGAATCTTCTATTCTAACGAATATTGAGATGAATTAACTTCAAGTGGTCTCGCGGGGCGCGTAACTTAGCGTCTAGCGGGCTCTTTTTCAACAAGCTAACCTTGATTCCTTTATGAGAAGGCTAGTAGATCTTGCGTGGTTGGTTTGCGCAGAAAAAAAGGTACGCTTGACATAATATAGGGCCGTTCGGAACACCAAAGTTTGAGTTGCATTATACGCTTTGATACCGCAGTGACGGAATATTGAAATATATGTACAAGGTGCAAAAAGGGGCTATTACAGTCAGAGTCTCTATTCTGTATCTTTGAAAATAGAAAAACACTAAAATGCCGTAAAGATGACAGTAAAAAAAAACTAATGTAATGATCCTCAACCTGTCAAGGGACTCGTATCCTACTCTGTATATATAGAGAAGTCTAGCTGGGTGTTTTAAGATAAGGAGTTGTAATTCTACATTATAATGTTATCACACTTTGATTTCTTTTTAAATGTACGCGGGTCAGATATTTATTTATTTTCATTTTTTCAGATATTTATTATTATCAGCAATTTGCGTTATTGGATTTTTTGTTTGGATAATTTAAAAAACGAAACTGCTAAATATTTTCTAAAAAATGTATTTCCTTCATATTCCATCGGGCTCTTGTTGCACTATAAATAACCATAGTAAGCACCTATCATGAAGCTACATTCTCAAAAGCAGACTGAAAGCATATTACGTTTCGTATAAGTCATGAAGGCATCTTACATGGTCACCTTGGAGCCAAAATGGGACTGGGCTCCATTAGCCAGGGCATTTCGGGTCTATATGAAGACGGATGCCGTCGATGCTAGTTTGGCAAAATAACTGAGTAACTTTAAAGTACAACTGAGTTTAGTAGACGTATATACACGTGTGTGTAGGTGCCCATTTAAACTAAGCCATTGATGTTTCGCACTCGTTACACCAGACGTTGTTGTCGTCGACGACATGTGGCATGTGGCCTCTTTTGAACGTGATTTTAACAACTTTGTTGATATTACGTTTGAACAAAACAATAGTGTTAGATATACTACCTCATTGCGGATAATCATGATCATAGATCAGAATTTAGCACAGAGTATTATTTATATCATGAAAGAATCATGCATGAGGATGATAATTAATGGTGTTAATTCGTTCGAGTTTATTGCTTCGGAGAACGGTGCGCTACAATTTTTCTCTCCATTTTTCTCAAACAAAATGCTAGAGTGCATAGCTGTGCCCGTGTCTGAGACCGTACAGATTTACATTGCGCCACAAAAACTCATGTAGGCCTATAGTGGACGAATCATAATCTTTGACCTACTTAATTTGGCAGTGTTAGAAGCCGTCGGCTACTTTCTGCGAGCACAGCCCTTTTTACGAAAAAGAGCATTTTGTTGTTTGACTGACCTTTTCGAATAAAACCATGTTACAGCCTTGCCTCTGGCAGACATAGCCATACCTTCTACGGCCAATAACAAAGGCGTCTTTAGTTGATCTTTTGGCCACGTAATAAAAAAGTGTTTAATTAATACACTTACACATAACTATATCTACTGTAGTATATATGTTTTTCTTTTTCACGTACGGTAGAACTTACTAGAAAAATTGGCCGAGAATAACTTTTTGAAATGCTAAATGTAAGACCCTTACAGACGAATCCGATGAATTTGTTACTTGGATTTTTGGTTGGGTGGTTTAATTAGTTGGGCTAAAATGACGATTCACAAAATGTGTTAAAGGTCGTCTCCTTTAATTAGAGCTGTCACAGCATCTGGACAGCCATATATCTATCGTTTGGGTCCTCATATGTAATTTTTCTAATTGAAGTAAGTCGACACTGGGATGTGTTCTCCCATCAGTTGCCATTTTTAGGGCATGGAAAGCCCCGTAATCATACGGATATAACATGGTAAATAGCCAAAGATGGATATTCGTTCGCTCAATCCAGGAGATAATTGAGGAATGGCAGTGAAATCTGGCGTTGTCATCAAATAATCAGACCGCGTACTTCCGACTGCCGTGTTAACAGCCAATGGGTCTCTGAGGAAACTCGAGACACTACCGTGCATTGATTTTCGGCGAATATCTTATTACTACAAGATGACCCTGGTGCCCATTATAGATTTCGCCATCACCTATGTCCAAACCTATTCGACACTGCTACTGAACTCTCAGAACGATGCGATCTTCTGGTTTGGTCCCTTTAAAACTGGCAGTAGAGATTGAGCTATGCTTCGTCTTTGGAAACCGCATGTTCGAGGCTTTTTTTTTTGCAAATTATTTGTAAAATAAGCCACAAGACTTTTCAATTGACCTGAAGTTAATCGACTGATCACAGCCTCACACAGCCTCCACATAGTTAGTATTTGGATTATAAATCTGTGATACATTTTATATGAAGTGCCAGTCTTACTAATAAACTCCTTACGTTCAAAGCCCGGCCTTCGTGATAAGCTTCTTCGAATACGGTAATGCCTTCGTATTTTTCCGGATCCAACATTTGGTTATCTTCTTGTTGGTTTTTTAACTCTCCGATCTCATTTTTACGTGGCATTATTCACGTATTGTGCTTTCCCTTGAAGTTTCCGTGCCTAATTATTTTATTAATCTTCGATAAATTTCCGGATCAGTAACTGGATCGCTAGGAATTGATTTTTTTGAAACAAAAAAATGTTTTTCTCTCTGAACTAATTTATCCTTAAGTTAGCTCAGCCGGCTCCCAGTCGGATTTTCTAAAAGGCTGAAATATTTACCAGTCGAAGTTCATCTACAAGTACTGTAGGGTTAACAAGTTAGGCAACTTTAAGGTGCGCGTTACTCGTCTCTAAGTTGCTGCGTCTCGCTTTAGCTCATTATTTAAAAAAAAACGCTGAGAGTTAGCGAATATGCAGTACGACGTCAATAGTTTGCAAATTATCTAATATAATAAAACAATGGTCAGAGCCAAATATATAGTACGATGCTTCGTGTAGAATTACTATCGTGTTCCCAGCATCTGTTCTCAGAGCGAATTGCATGGCTTAATAATTAGATGCTACATAGGGTTCGAGACACGGGTTAAATTTATTTCCTAGAGGACAGATTGAGCTGGATATAAATGAGACAACGTTAGACTGTCGCCACTTCACAACCAAAACGCGCGACCTATTCAAGGTCTTTCACGAATCGTTGCGATTTAAAGTTATTACTATTATCACTTGTTTATTCGGGCTAACCTATCTACTGTCTTCATATTCGCAACAACTTAACACGTATCCGTAAACAGCTTTAGCGTATACTCGTAATCAAAATGGCATTTGTTTTTTTAAATCTTATATTGAAAGTGTCATCATATTCTCATCAGGCGCATTTTCTTTCTTTTTCTGTGTAGTCATTGAGACACAACCCCAAATTTTTTTTTAGAAACGTGTATGCTCATCTTGGCTATTTCTTCCTCCGTCAGCCAGCTCAAGAGCTAAATCTATCTACCCTTGAAAACTATGATACTGTTTACATTGTTATATTAATAAATATATCTATTGTATAAACGTACGTAGAGGACGCTTACTTCCGTCCTATCCTCCCATATCAACCAGTGACCGCAACAGGGTAAATACGTATGTTGCAGTTTAGCTTAAATCAAACAAAAGTTTAACTCAGAATAATAAACACACTTCTATCCAAAACAGTACATAAATATTCACTCTACTTCTCTCTCCTTTTGTCACTGCCTAATGTAGAAAGAAACCCGCTTCCCATCACTTTGGTAACGGCTATGACTCGTCAAAACATACACCGTAGCAAAACATACCGTCTACGCTATTTAGCGAATCGTGTACATTGCTTCACGGCTGTTGCTAGGACAATATCTAGCGTTTTTGCTATTGCCAGCCTAAGGACAATCGTTATAAATTTGGTAGAAAGTCACGTTCCTGCTTGGGAATCTGAAGATGTAGGATCGGCATGAAAAGTGGAACAGTCAGAGGCAACCGATGGAACAAAGTACATGATGCCCTAAAAGTGTATACAAAAGTGCGTACAAAAAGCTCATAATCTTGTGATTATCCCTTTTTTTTTCGGGATGTAATTAGCTGTAAATAATAGGTAACCCAGGGTTAACTTTTACGCAGGGAGACTATATCTGAAAATGTCATTGATACAGAGACAATATCGCAGGCAGTTTCAGCTAAATTCGCCTACACAATTTACAATAAATTGGACGACAGGTTAGTTTGAAACAAATAGGATTGCTCAGGATGTTCGTCAACAACGTTTCAGGCGATCGGATGAACACCAACGACATCTGAAAGACAATCGGGTCGTAAGTTTGGCATCAGCAAATTACACTTTCATTGCATTCTAAGTTAAGCGTAATAGCACACGCTACCAATGAAGATTGTTTGGACAGTGGTCCTTGGAAAAATGTATACCATGTGCACCATTTTCGGGGATTAATAAGTTGAGTAAAAAGGTCTTATATAATACGCTGCACGTTCTCCAGACCTAACGCCAATGGGAGTTCTTTGTGAGATACGTTGTAGACAAAGTCTACGTTAAAAAATCGACGACATTAAAAGTCGCAACCGAGGACGAGTGTCCCATAGTAAAGCGAAGGGTTGCTTCAAACTTGTGAATCGATAGTCTACCCTCATCAACAATGTGTTGGCTAGAACGGTAATAATTTTACACATCTGTGCTAAAATAAAGATGTATACATTTTATGTAGATTCTTTTGCAATTTAGGTATCGATTATATTCTTTTAAATTTAAGCAAAAATTATAATCATTCACATTGTGTGTACAATTTTTGAGACACTCAAAAAAATAATATATATACACTCATCATGCCGGGAGCCCATCGTTCTACCGGTTCCAATGAACTTCCTAACCGAACACGTCGTGTTCACTTGAACCGTGTCATCACTTTAGCTTGTTAAGGGCGATGGTGTGGTAGCGGTTTCCTTTCCGCTTCTTCCCCGCCAAGGTCCTTTTTTTGCGGTCCTGACGGTCGTAGCGTTGTCGTATGGCTTTTTTGTCTGCCTAGTCATCGTCACTGACCATCGGAGACCATTAGCGGTGCTATGGGATGAGGTAAGTAGACAGCTTGGTAAAAGAGTGGGTTTGTGAGCGCCTGCGACAAGCAGCTCGATCTACGAACGGCAAATGCTTCCTTCAACAAGGATAACCGAAGAAAAATCACGAAGGCACCGGGTCGACAAAGGAAGCTCAACAACAACAAAACGCTCGAATAATATCGAGTGAGTGTTGGCTTTTGTGGCCGTCCTCGTTATCGGCCCAGTTGATAACCTCACGCCTTTTTGCTGATGACCTCATGTAAGACGACCAGCCGGCATGCTGAGTTTCCGCCCCTCTAAAAGCACGTCTATTACCTAAATCATAACTGCGACATGGCGGAAATGCAGGCGTGTCAAGCACTGTCTATCCTAACAGCAAGGAAGCTCTCGCGGATGATCGAAATGAGTGAGCTCCCGCATTCAGCGGTTTCCGAGATTGCACAAAAAAGATAAGAAGCCAACACGTCGCGAGAGTATTGCTATCATTACGAGGTATTGGCTTGCGCCGGAGAACTTGCAACGTACAAATAAATTGAACAAGGATGCGATCCTATTTTGTATGGGCAATCTGCACCATAAACGAGCCTCGTACATTCCACTGTGGCTAATCGCGACTCGAAGTCGGTACGCTACTGTGAAGAGTAAATGCACGAACTAACTATTTTACAAGCATAAGTACACGTCATAATGGCAGTATGAAAACTCTCGATAATGTATGACAGTGGGCGTATAAGCTTGACGTATACTTAATTAGCGCAACTTAAACGTATGTCAGGTTTTTTCGGGTATGTAATGGGCAATAGGTATAACTGATCAGAAAAAATGCGCAATCAATAATTAAACGACGACAACGTAACATCAAGTAAAGATACTAAAAAAAATATTCGTTTATTTTATTTAGGTAAGACAAAAAATAAGGTATCATTTTCTATTCACTTTGAATGGGTTTCTCTACCTGGTGTGGCTAAAGGTCTGCTCGCTGCTGATATTGGTTCTCCTCGTCCTATAGCGTTGACGACACAGTGCCTCCATAGCATTTGCGAATCCCTTCGCACACAAACTCATATAGAGAGCCTATGTAACTAAATTATCCATTAACCGGATTTTGACCTAGAGTTGGCGGTAATCTGCATGATATGAGAAGCAGGTTATGGCGATGCCGCTCCGACATTGCATACGGCAGGTCTTCAGAGGTTATCGCCCGAGGTCAGTGACAGCGAAAAACAGTTAGAAAAACTACAGGCTGGAATAGAAAGCTATAGCATATAATGTTTTTGAACTAGGTCGAAAACCTTGAACGAAACATTTGGTTATATAACGTTCATAGTACTTTTCTAGAAAACAGGACTAAAGGTTGAAATTCGCAAGCCTAATTTTAATAAGGGCGTTGATTAACCTTGATTGATCCGACAGTCATTAACTGAAATATAAATCACCAAATTGCTGCTTTTTTTTGTTCATGCTCGAAGCTTGGTCAATCATCCATAGTTTTGAGAACCTCGGCCATGCTCTCATACCAATTGTTACTACCAGTTTCATATCATATGGCGAAATAGCAATTTACTAAATTATTTTGTAAGATTATTCTCAATAAATTGCCATCATGGAACCTCGACACAAACTTGTGCATAGCTAAGACGGGAACATATAGCGTGTATCCGAATCAGCCATAAGCCCTTGATAAACAATATTTGACAAAGCATCGTGGCACAATTTATTAGACGGTCTTCAAACTAAGAAAACCAATGCTTCTTTCTTCAGATACGGAGAGGTGGAAACCATCCCCATTTTGGAAATGGAGCCGATATCAGATAGCTTCTATCATTGCATCTAGACATATATGCATACAGTAAGATTCACTGCTTATTCAATCCTCTCCTGCTTATCCATTCCTCTTCGAGATCAACGCGGCGTGCTGCATAAACCATCCATTGCAACATCCCCTTTTTGCTACTTCAATATCTCTCCATTCTTCTTGCGGTACCGGCGCATCTATTCTCATATGCCATAATCGTGGTCATATATGTCTACAGTAGCAGCAGTACTTGTATACAGTAACGGTTGGCATTTACTCCACGACACTTTCTAGCAAATATTCCTAGCTCAATGTCTCTTCCCTACCGCTGCCTTCTCTTATCTACATCCACTTGTTTCAGGTTCGCCCTTGACGACACATGACCTTGTTCCACTAAAATGACTGCACGCAAAAAAAAATTGCAACATCGTTCTTCTGCTCTTGTTTGCTGCTGCAGCCACTGCTGAGTGTCTTTCGCCACCCGATGTTCTAACGTTACTGCCTTGAGCTCTGCTGAACAGAACATGGACTTTCAACGGCCGATAGCACGATGCGTTCGAAAAACGATGTACGCGTTAAAAAAAGGATAACAAATAAAGAGAGACAAAGGCTGTTATCCTACTAGATTTGGCAAAGGAAACCCAACCATGCCACACTGCACTGTCTCCTGAGCCTTTTCTTCGATTTGTGTCGTTCTCATCCCGACTCGTCCTTGTCCTCGTCGATTTTCCAGCTCATTGATATAACCCCGCACTTTCCGTCTGCAAATACGACGATCCCTTGTCTCGTCTCGCCGCTTTGCCATAGGGATGTTTTTTCAGCATCCATTTATTCTGATGGTCGTGCGGAAAACACAAGGGGAACAGCGATCTGGCAAGGACTGGAACAGGGAAATGCAGGGGTAAAGCCCATAAGGCAAAGCAGGGGGATCTATTCTACTACATAGTTCGAAGCTCTTGGACGCGGACGCGTGGTCGGGCCAAAGAGCGTCACATATTCGAAGCCTCTGGTAAGCTATGGTGTCCACGGCTGCTACGACGACAACACCCTTCGGAGTTTTTTGCTTGTACCGCCGATACTGCGGCTGCTGTTCCTAGTGTCGATGGCGCTTCCGCTATACATGTTACTGACGTCTGCTTATCCTCCAGAATCGAAAGGTTTTTCCGAGCGGCGGCTTACTCCGACTAGGACGGTTTGGAGAATGACTTCCCGACGACAAGACACAATGTCGAGAGCAAAGGCTCGGACACCAACGGAGTCGGCGTAGGAAAGGCGTGGAAGCCAAGAGTGTAGAAAGAGGTTCAGCCGCCAAATTCGACGAGGCGCCTCTATCGGTTCTGACATTCGACAGCACCGAAAACAAAAAGTCGACGATATCGCGCTTCATTTACTTGAACGCAGACCGCAGTGGTCGTGCAAACTTTGAGCACTACCACAAACTTTGTAATGAGACCAATCAGACGGTGCCTGCCATGAGACCTTTTAAATGCGCACCGTTGTTTTTCCTCCCCTTTTTATTTTGTGTCATACTTCCTTCAGTCAGCTGATGTGAACATTTGGAGTGAAATCAAATAAAAGCATATTAAACAGAACTTTGCAATAATAAAAATGATTACATGTGCATACTTTTCGAACACTGATTATTTAAGGATTCTGTCCTCTGCTTAACGGTACGTCTTAGACGCGGGCTAACGATGTATAGCATGCTAATTAGTATTTGCACAAAAAGAATCGTATTAATACATTTTGAAAAGATCATTGTTTAATGAGCAACCATAACTATTTAAAGATTTAGCTGACGTGTCCGAGTACCGAACTTTTTGAAAGCCTTGTTTAGCCATGTCGAGGACATTGAAAATTCCATTAAGTGTACACGCTGCTTAGTAAAATACATCTTTTAATGTAAAGGTCACTACCAGTCTTAGCAAAGACGAGAATCGGGCTTTTCGGATATTTCCGTGGGCGGTGAGAGAGACGCTACTCAGTGAGCATGTTTGAATCGCTTGACAGCTCCGACCAACCGCTAGGTAAAAAAAAGTGGCTAAAATTCCTCATACTCGTTCCATGTCAGCTTACAGCTGTGTGCCGCGACCTATTTTCCATGGCCAGAAAACGGGTATAGGTTTACATGTAGATCATACCTTACTTTACACACAACTATTAACGATACGGAGCAGACATAGAGCCGTGATTCAAACTGGTAGGCTCATATCGTTTATTTAGCTTTTCTATTGAGGTTTGGTTACTGCTAAGCTTGTACAAAATACCGGTCCAATGGTGTTACCATGAGGGAGTGCACTATGTGATATGATCAGCGGAAATTTATTGCCGCCATATTTCTCCTTTTAATTTCAAAGGTGGTTTTTCAACTGAGAGCTGCCAATGAATTTATCAACCGGAAAGATGTCTACAGTTCCAACCCAAAGGATATAAGGAAACGCTGAAACCGAGACCTGGATCGATTTGGATTACTGTCAATCCCGTCGCTTTTATCCTGCCGAGTTTTGAGCGAGCAACTATGTGTAACCCCGAATGTGAGAGCAATGTTCAGTCAACCCCAAGAAAAGTTCTACCGCAAGTCCACAACTATTACTCTAAGAAAGCCTTCAGTAGCTCCAGACGCCAGGCGACAATACCAGAGTCGCTATATGCAAAGGTAACCAGCGTATTCATAATGTGATCGCATAATATGTCTAATAATACTAGCAGCACTTGTGAGCAAACCGTTTGTAATGGAATCACCAATGCCGCATCACATCTTGCCTCTCAAAACCTTTCATCACTTCAGGACTCACCTGTCTTGAATGTACGCACCGAAGTGACCAAGTATGCAAAAATGGACGTACGGAAGTGGTCACCTTTTTTCAGTGTATAATTAGTGATTATATGTCCGAATTACACGAAAAAGAAATTGTACATAGACACTTGTGTCTGGGTCGAGTCCGAGGGGTCCTATTCTTCATGAAAATGAAATTTGTTGCCTGTCTCCATATAGCATGTAAATGCAAGTTACTACCACCAACAGAATGAGTAAATCGCGTCTAAATAAGCAAATATGAATGTTATTCCTAAGCTAAAATGATTACGACAGACTAAAACTATTACAGCAACCCTTCTAATTTACCAAATATCGTAGAACACTTTGCCAAGCGGGGAAAGGTTTGCCATATCGCGATTTATCACAGTAGTATGCTCACATGATCACGGGGAACAATACAGGACATTTGCAAATATGCAAAACCCCCAGCATCCAAAAGCTTTAACGCAACCATGAGGCCGCTTAGCTTCCCTTTTTCATATGCCCCTATACGCACGCTTATCTATATTTGACTTCTCTTTCATATCTGTCGCTGGCTGTCCTACTGTGCGTATGTATAAACTATTCTATTATTTATTATGTACTGTATGCGAGCAACAGCGAAAGGCGGGGTTGGCAGAGGGGGCAATAGTTCTGCGTTCAATAGGGCCATAAGGTTGCTTGAGCTAGCCGCATAGGTTTCCTCCCTATAACAACCTCAAGCCAGCGTGGCCGCGCTCGCCGTTGCTGGTACGTAGTCTACAATACAAACACTTCAAGGGAGGCTAAAGGCCTTTGACGGACCGGACCTATAGCTGTGGCCGTAGCCGTGACAGCACTACCCTTAACAACAGCAGCTCCGCTACTAAACGGTGGATATAGAAAACGAATGGCAGCAGCTGGCAGCAGAAACCGTTACGAGAGTTCAGCGTTATAAGAGACGAGGACGAAGACTTCAAGAACGCAGAAGGAAGAGGACAAATATCAGTGGCCCACTGGAGTTACGGTTCTCTGACTAGGCCGTTATATTCTCCGTTCCGACAAAGCCTCTGAAGATGCCAGGGAAGACCCGAAAGCACCCTTGAGAAATCCGTACACCCGGTCCTGGAGAACCCCTTAAGAGCTATCGAAGAAGCCCCGATACCAGAGCCATTCCTAGGTGCTCCGCTTTATCATGACAGCCCGGCGCAGTTTCCACCGCCAACGCCTCTTCACAGTACTTCACTCTGGGGACTGGGGATATCGAAACCGCTGTTTGTTCTTAACCTTTATGAAGCAGAAAGACCATTCAAAGTAAGCAGCAACGTCTAGTGTTAGCCCAACAAGGCAACCAGTTGCAACTGCCACAGCTGGAGAGTGATCGCTAAATGCAAACTGAGCATTTACGTTCGCCATCCAATGTATATATTAAATTGTCGAAAAAGTATTGACCGTGTTTGCAATTGCATAACTTTAAAATCACTTATCTCAATGTAAATTGCGAAAACTCGCTACTTTCATTACGCTAAGGGTACGAATGCTGCCCGTGCTTATGGCCAAAATACATTATGAGAAAACCCTGCTTAAAGACGGTTTTTGGTGAGTTAACGAAGTCAAGCCATTTCTAAAAGAATTTACAACGCCTGATAAAAGAAGCCACATACAACAATAATATTTGAATTGAAAAAAAATAAAAATTATGTTCCACAGTCTGTAGCAAAGCCCAGATTGACGCTATGTGTTTGGTAAAGCTAGAAAGGAATCATGCATTGTGTGGCTGTCACCTGGCAACGACCCATTCTGACCTCTACTGACATAAGGATAATCCCATGTAATGAAAGTTTATCGGCTTGGTAAAATGGTAATTAAGTACAGCTATAAATGCTACAACTACCGTGAATATGACGAGATACAAAAAAAACTTGAAAGCTTATTTTTAGTAAATAATAAATAAACCTAGGTAAGTAACCGTCTTATAGAACAGACGACCAATAAATTTTGCGGGACGCGCAGCAGGAAATACAATTTCTTATCCGATGGCACTACGCGTGGTTCACTTACTTACGACCGAAGCTAAAAAGAAAACTCTTCGCATTTTGCACTCTTTGTAATGTGCGAAAAGCACATCAGTATAGATTTTCATACTTGCCAATAATTGTTTTATACCCGAGGGTACCGCGAAGTATTATACGTATCCTTGAATGTTACTGGTCTCGAAACAGAAGTACCGAGCCCAATGAACGTTTTTTTCCATCTATGGTGGGGCATACGCCATCAGCCAGTTTCTGTGCATGTTGTGTTAAGGGCAATTGGCTCCTTTTATTGAAACTACCACAAAAGCTCGATTACCGTTGGGCTGCAAACCAACTTTCAATCGTTCACTAGTGAATTCCAGTCGGCAGAACATAATTCGTTTCTCTCTCCCACTCATAAGTCACTCTCTCTTCCTGAGCCCAGGGAGCATCGTGCGCTCTTTACTGAGAGAGGGGGGTGGTTACATGGCTGACTGCACAGGAGTGCACTTTGGTACGAAAGTACCTCAGGTTACTAGGCAAAGCCTCAGAACTTCCAGTGCAATGGGATTGCATGGATTAATGTTTAGTTTCACACCACTGAAGGAAGTTAGTCAACGACAAAACGAAGCAGGTTAAGTACGTGTGCTGCATGTCGCAGAAAACCTATTTCGGACACATGCGATAGTCAACCCTGTTTCAAGTTTTGCGTCTCGTATTGCCGTTAGCCACCCCAGTACAAAACGAAATCTATGCCCGGGTTAAATATAGACAACGCGCGTTCCTAAGATAAGCAAGCAAATACGTTAGCCACTAAGCTATCACGGGTGCAAGGTGTCGAATTCTAGGAGAAATTAAGTTGCCGAAATGTGGTAACTTATCCGAAAGTGATGACATTACTGCTAGGGACATTTAGGATAAGCCTTCACAAAGTATGTCCGCTTACAGCAATGAAAACGAGCATGTTTTATGTCTTAATGGGAACAAATCATATGAAATTGTGGTCGATTTACGTTACGATGCCGCTTTTTAGGCCTGACAAAATGAGACAGTGATTGTTTGTTTCAGGTGTTATATAAGGTGGTTATGCCGGGTTTAGATATTTTCTGAAATTGCTTTGCTAGCTTTGCCAAGAAAAAACAACTGTTACTTTATTTAGCTTAACTAATCAAATTTACTAAAATGAATAAATTTGCTTATTCAAATGTAGACTGGCACCGGTTGAATACCGTTTTAAACATTTAAATTTAAACGCAGGCCGATTAGTTTTTTGTCGTACCTTTTTCTTCAGATCAAATCTCATAATAAATTCCTTGAGGAAGCGGATACAAGCAGAATGTAAAAAAGAACTTAATTTTTCAACGTTAATATAACGACGTAGAAGAAAACGAAGCCGTTTTTTTTTTGATATCGCACAGTATATTCAAATACATAGAAAGTTCTTTACACATGAAGCCCCTTTGCTTTGACATGCTGATTTACTGCAATATCATACATCCTGAAATCTATCTAGAGACCAGTGCATGCACGTAACGTGCATGTGAGTGCCCAAGGTCAGTTCTTCAGACGATTAAAGAGTCGTTCAATCTTCTAAATGGAGGCGTAGCGTGCCTTCGCTTTGAACTTAGAACGTTCGAGAACCTTTCTCGGTAAAGTAGAGCTGCACGTGCCTTTTCGTTTATTATAATAATACCTAGCATATGTCCAAACATCTTCTATATACAATTTTAAGTAAGTCCATGCAATTAAACACCACACCGTAGAAAAACGACCGTGCTCTCTTTTAACTCTCCTATTTCACATCTTTTCGCACAATACAGGCGTATTCCATGTGAATAGCAGAACGGATTAGTTGAAAGAATTCTCTGGTAAAACGTAATGAATAGTGTACGGCTTTCTCGAATGCTTGTCCTGCTATTTGCCTGCATCAGTTAAGGCCACAATGACCTGCAGTTTCCTTAATTTCTCTGGAGCAGGAGAATTCAATCGAACTGTTCAGATCAACCAAATATATTTGCGTAGGCGTTGAGATCGTGTTAAGTACTTCGTGAACATTGAGAAATTGTAATAACAGGTTGTAAAATCAAACCATTGAAAGCCCGATGGGTTATGCCCAATAATAACTCAAAACTACAAAAGTACCATAACTACGAAGTCAATTTTTATCAAAGGTTTACATAGCTTAGTCATCAAACTCATCTGAGATAACGACGAATTTGAGACAAAAGTAAATATCTATGATATATTTCATCACCATGTAGACCTTCAATTGGGGCTTCCATTATTTCATTAGAGAACATATATGCTTATCACCATAGGAAGCAGTACACGCCCTACTCGCAAAATGAAAGCGAATATTTCGTCACCTTAGCAGAGTTGCTTGCGTCTTCTGGCCAAGAAATTCACGCTTTATTCGTCCGTTTGACCTATACAGACTGGGATGACTGCAACACTCGGAGCGATTATTTCTGACACTTTCATATAACACCCATACCACAAACCATGTGCAAAAATCGCAAATATACGTATTCACGCATCACTGGTTAGCACGCCAACCATAATGTCCCTATTTGCTTGGCTATTCATCAGGCTATGGTGAGCCTTGTGTCTAAAAAAGCTTCGTTCTCGAAATGTTAAATATATATATTTCCGAAGCGGTAAATTGCAAGCAATTGATTATATCGTTGTGTCTCGTTGTCGGACTATCCATATCAAATGTATGGATATTAAAAAGGCGATAATGACACATCGCTATTTGAATAAGCACTATATGCGGTTTTGTGCCCGGATTCTTATCTAGGGCTCTGTGTAAAAAAAGGCACAAGAAGTTTGAATAGACGAATAAGCACAATCTGCTCGGTGGTATACGAGTGTAAGGTCCTAAGCAGAAAATCTGTTTTTCAATGAAAACTAATGCTCATCGAGTACCTGTAGTTAGCCCTAAGAAACATACATCACTTTAGTACTGAGATAATTATTTTTCATTCACTTTTTTCAAAATGGAAAATCATTAAATCTTCAGAATTCAAGTGTCAGACCAAACTTCAAAATAAATGTCCCCAAAATTGGGTAGTTCCGATACTAATGTCATTACCCAAAGATATTGAAAGCGTCAGCTAGAAACAAAAAATAAACAGCCAAATCGAAGTGTTTTGACTAGCATGCTTCCTTTTTTTACCTTTTTGGCCAACCCTTGGCCTGAAGCGCCTCAGAACTTCCGGCTCTGAAGTCTTCCTAGATAGCCGTACTGTTGCCTTGAGGTGTGCTCTCCACCTCGTAGTTACGCAGCCTTCTTCTGTGCCTTTTTGGGTTAATCTCATGCTTCCTCTTTTGAGATGATAATTCTTTGTTAAGTATCTCATAAATAAAACTATTCCACGCGCATATCCAGTTTCGAACTCGCGACTTATGCGAACTGGCTTATGGTACCGTTTATGATAATGAAACTTTCAAAAGTCAGCACAAAAATACATAAGGTTTATTTCTTTTAGAATTACATGTCGTTGGAACAATTCAACAGCTGCCTGCCCTTTGATATCTGTATGTCAATTAATCTTTCAACTGATATGCAAGCAAAGCTTTTCGTTTCCAAAAATAGAAAATGTGCACAGATTTTTTTGTTTTATAAAAACTACGTGACGTGGAAATAATAAAGGGGAAAACCAAACATTCATTAATGTGTCCCAAACGACATGAAATACAGTCTTACATCGATAAAATTTTACTTGTAACTGCCGGAAGTAAGCTGTAGTCCACTTACATCTAGCCGATGGCGACCTAAAGAAACTGGAAACCAAACTTACGTCAACCTGTAGGTATCACTTAATATTATTAGAAAAATCACATTGTTCAAGGCCATAACTAAAAACTTGAAATTTACATTTACTGAGTCTCGACGTCATTTAAGGAAGGTCTATTGCTTAAACTTTCCGGCAGAATACTCGAACAAGAAAATTCTTTCAAGTCAAGTCTTCGATCCGGGCAAAACCTAATATGTAAGTCTTATCAAGGTGGAGCCAAGTTAGACTTGGTAGATGCAGCGCCACAAAACATTTTTCATTAGTGCAGCTACTTTGCTGTTGTCTTTAACTCCAGTATGAGCCTCACATCTCCGCCCCCTGCCTTTTTAGCAGATAGTCAGTTTCTTCATTCACACGAAATGATTTTGTAGGTCTCGTCAGTGCTCCAGAGACATTGGTCCACCTCTGAAGCACCTATAACGCCTGTACCTGCTTCCGCCTGCTTTATCCTGCCACTCCAAGGCAAAGTTCCTAACTCCATGCCTAACTTCCTGACCACGTTACCAGCTGTTGCAGTAACAGAATAGACAGAGGCGAAAGACCAATCTCACACTCGACTTAGCCAAACTACAACATACCCAATTCAACCGGCCGCCCGCGTTAGTGCGAATGTGCTATTGTTGAGAGGCCAATAGAACAATAAAAGAGGACGAAGCTGTTAGAAAGACACGACCACGCACCGACAAACGGACCAACCATATCCGCAATAGCAACAACAATAACAACTGTCACAGGAATAATGGTGCAAACGCGCGATACAACTGTGTTTCAGTACAGCTGTTTCTGTTGCCGCTCCAAGGCAAGTGATATTACAAACAAACTTCTAATAGCTTGGCTTCTACGATGGTTTGAATGGATATATCTCCCTAGGTGATACTTTTAGAAAAGGAAGCGAACGTTGCGCCGTAGGACAACAACGGGAAAAGGGAGTAAAAAAGTTTGCTGATGCCACCACTGCTATTGCCTATAGCGGTTGCTGTCGCTTGTCCAGTTTTTGTGGCCGATGTTGGACGACATTGATTCCCATTTCTAGGTGGAAATAGTCACGCGGGAGAGCCGATCGACAAGCTGGGACGAGAAACTGGTTTCAATTGTTACCTATTCCATTTCATCGGCCAATGGGTGAGGATAAATTGTGGGTAAGGGAAAAACGCCGATTGACAATAGTGTCATTCAAAATGTGGTAACGCAAAGGCGATTAAACACCTAAGCAGGTCGTGAGGCGAGGTACGTTAAAGTAGCGGCTCCTAGAATTGCAGATACGGTCGCGAAACTGTTTTGTGGGCGATAGATTCGAAGAGATGTTGAATACTTAAGCAGTGCTTATAATTATATAATATGTTAAATTAAACGAATGTTGCGTCTGGGACTATACATTGAACTGTGGTCAGTACTGGCAAAATCGTTTTAATAGCATGGATGCTGACTTTAATCTATAGGACTTAGACTCGAAATTCGTGGTTCCTGAAGAGGAATCGATCCTCAAAAGCCTCTAGGCATGGATTTGTGTATATCTCGCCAATTTAATGTAAACGTATTACAGGATAACTTCCTTTATTAAGAGCTTTAAGATATCCTAGCCTGTTTTTTGCATGAAATCTTCCTCAGGTCCACAATCTCCATTGTTTTCTAGCTTTTCATGACTGAGAGCCACGGGAGTGTAAAATTAAAATACACCTGACTAGATTTCTACGGTCGAAATCTGGTTAACAGATAGCAACGAGAGTAGTGCATGGACCAATTTTCGCGGTTTTTCCAGAATAATAAAGACACATTTGCGTGCTGTACATCGTAAGAATTGCTCAGAGTGTGTTTCTTCTATTGGCTAAATCATATCAATTTCTTGTTCCTTCCTTGCAGAGGTTCTTGTGAGCCTGCACTTAAATGCTGGTTTTTCTCGTCTTTATAAACTTTCGACGATCGACTAAACGAAAGAGAATTTTAAATATTTTTTAAGTAATAAACTTTAACACTTTTTGATATTTAATCTAGAATGCACATATTTGGATGAATTTTGATAGGGTATATTTACCTAAACTCTGCGATAAGACGAGCTAAGGTCATTTTTTTAAATTTTGAACTGCTTGAGTGACAAATCGTTACCAAACGAATAGTCCAGAGCTAGTCCTTATGGTTTGAAAATTTAATTATTTTAGAGGTAGAATATTTGCAACTGGCTATCAACAGCCGCTACGAAACACCAGGTTTTTCGTAGAGCTATAAAGTAAAGTTAATTAATGTGAGCAAATTTAACAATTCGAAATGAAGAATGTCACATTTACGTGATGTATCACGATACTAATTTACATTTATGTATTCATCTATCGTAACTAAAGTTTGCACTTAATCTTAAGGGACTCAGTGCAGCCGCAAATCGGCTGAAACCACACCTTAAACAAAAATTAATCTTATTCACTTGCGAGAAGTTACGCTAATGGCATAACGCCGCCAGCCACGTATGACTGGAGGAATTCGAAACCATCGAATTTATTTCAGTTGTTTCACCTGAGACATTTGAAGTGACCTCTATCAAATAGGTGGAGAAAGAATCTTAACATACCAAAGAATTATATTTTACTTGAGATGAAGTATGCATTCTACGCACGAGTTTGTCAGCAAAAACAACGAGTCCGCGTGATAGATCTGTTTATTTCTTGATTTTATCAGTTCATTGATCTGCACTTGTCATTGTTACCAGTAATCGATGCCCAAATTCACGGCTATTTTGTTCTAAAACAGATCATTGCGGTAGTATCCATTCTAACAAATATTTTACATTCAACCTCTAATGACAGCCACCTATGCATGCGGCATCTGCTTTTGTCGTTAAGTTTGCTAACGACTAATTAAAAAAAAAAAGGTTGAACAACTTGTTTTTCTCCTTAGCGAAGCCTTATCTCTTTCCCTCTGTGTTGCTTACATGCATCGCTGAAAACAAACGCTGCAAATCTTTTTGCACAAAAAACGCTACCATTCTATTAACTTTCCCGCAAGTTCATATACAGTAGCACACCATATATACATATGAAGTGCTGCTTCCCATATATATATATATATATATATATGAGAAGCGCCCATCTAATTAAAAATAGTTCCCTGTACCTGAGTAAAAGATTGCCTGCCTGTACCTGGGTAAAGGCATTGCTGCTTTTTTTAACATTCTTCAGTTCTCGAATAATTTCCAGCTAAAGTACATTCCTCTCTTTTTTTTCTCTTGGTCTCCGTGGTCAAGTCGTCTGATTACGGATGCGACCTTATATATTTGGCAAATTGACTACTTATATTTCGAAAAAACTTAAAAAAGAAAGAACCCGGCTCTGTAAAAACAATTATGTTTACAATGTCTTATATTTATTCGTGCTTGTGACGTTTCAGTCATGTTTCGTTTAAATAATTGTAGACTCTTTATCCTTGGTGTTATTTGTAATTATCGTGTTTTTCATGGACGAATTTTATTACCTATTGTTATCATCTATTGTACGTTATGAGTGACGTTTTCATTTGTTTGTCCCCCCAAGACGATGTCATTGCCGCTGGCGATCGGCGATTCTGTGCTCATATATAAAATTCATCATCGATTTCTACAAAAAGGTGTATACGACGCGGACTGGTATTGTACGCACCTGCTCAAATTGCGGCATCGATTATCCGGGGATCGTTTAAGGTGATGGCATGCATTTAAGCCGCTTAAAAGCCTCTTCCTCGAGCTTTGCCCGATGGTCGGGATGGGCAATGTTGATAAGGGCGTGCGCCCGTTGTCGGAGGGACTTGCCAAACAGTGACGCAATACCGTATTCGGTAACAATGTAATGGGCGTGAGCACGCGTGGTTACTACGCCCGAGCCAACCTTATTGAACACCGAAATCTTTGATTCGCCCTTGGTGGTAACAGAAGGCATGGCCAAAATCGGTTTGCCGCGGCCATCTTGAGAAATAGCTGCGCCGCGCAAGAAATCCACTTGTCCACCGAAGCCCGAATAGATACGTGGTCCAATCGAATCGGAAACGACTTGACCGGTTATGTCGACCTCAATGCAAGAATTGATTGCCGTTACCTTTGGATTCTGGCAAATTATCTGATAATGACAGAAAAAGAGATCAAAAATAGTGTATGAAGACCTCAGCTTCAATGGGATATTTTTAATTGAACGCGATTCTGGCTCCAATTTACACTATTTGGTAACTATTGAGGGTTTCAAGGTTCATATGAGTTTTTGTTAATAATGAACCTTAAAATTCAGAGCATTTGTACTACGGCTACTAATCAATAACTTACCTGAGGATTGTTCGTAAATCCGGTATCAAGCATGACAAGCGAAGGGTTGTTGTGCATCCAGTTGAAAAGCTTTTGGGTGCCAATCGTAAACGAGGACACCAGTTTTCCCTGGTGAATGACTTTTTTATTGTTCGTGATAGCGCCAGTAGCCAGTAGGTCGACAACTCCATCAGAGAACATTTCTGAATGGATGCCTAGATCTTTATGATTGCCAAGCTGTGTCAGAACGGCGTCAGGAATCGCGCCAATGCCCATCTGAAACAAGACGTAACGGACCAAGAAAACGATTTATTCTCCCGTCCATATGCTTTCTAATAAATTTCTAGTTATTGTTATAAACTCATACACATTGGTGTTTACATATCATTATTCTTCTCTTGTTAAGTACATGATGTTATGACAAACATCCGCCGGTTCCAGTCTTGTAACATCTGCCGATTTGAACAAAGTTTTGCTTTTCGCCCTCTGACTTCAGCATTTGTTGCTACATGGCAACGGGTCATTACATTGAACCCGTCATACTCCAGGCGCCATATTATCCAGCTTCTGTGAGAATATAAAAATGAAAATTATAAACGGATGTGTAGACACAAAAAAAACTACACAATTTATTATTATAATATAGCTCAATCACTGACCTGTAGCGTAGCACCATCCTCGACAAGGTTCTCTGCAATGTGCTTGCCGATAGCAATTTCAGGAGCACTGAGCTCGTTAGCTTTATGTTGAGGCAATGGAATGTGTCCCTCTACAAGTGAGTCGAAGTGCGATATGTGAACCGATGCATCACCGAATGTTCGCGGCATGTTCTTATTTACCTGTATACATCAGGGGCAGTCGTCCATTGAGTAAACAAAACCGGAGTTTGACGTTAATATGACTTCGACAAAAAGTGTTGACGTAGCCTGCCGGCGATACTAGCGATAAGGTTTATGATGGTAGATACAATAAAAAGATATTTTTTTTTTAATGGCCACTATAAGTTACAAGTGAAAATCACATAAGTCTTATTCGAGCAGTCTTACATTATGCAGTACGAACTGAGAAAACCATGTTTAATATTCGCTTGCAATCGAACTAAAAAAAAGCTTTTTAGAGAAACTCTTGTCCGCCGAATGTTAATTAATGTTCTCAATCATACTAGAGCAAAACGGAAATTATTTCTTAATGGATTAACATACCTGTCCAATGATATGCTTTGCGTGAATCAGTGCGGCCCGGGTCGTGTCTACGGAGGTGCCGAGAGAACAGTACCCGTGTTCATCAGGAGGTGACACCGTGACCATGGCTACGTCAACGGGCATAATTTTTCGATGAAACACAAGGGGGATCTCGCCGAGAAAGATTGGGACGAAATCTCCTCGACCTTCCGCAATTGCCTTGCGACAGTTGGCCCCCGTGAAGAACGAGCATGATCTATACTTCGCAGACAAAATCATAACGTCATCAAGCAACAAAATAGGATCAACATCAACTTCAAAAAATTGCTCTTAGCAGCAGATACATTTAATATTCATGTGCAATCCATTTGAAGTTTATATTTCAATCGCGTTATCTACCAATCATCAATTTCGTAACTATAAGCAAACTAAATTTGACATCATCAGAGGATTATAAGATGCTCAAACCTTTAAACAGTGTGGCTGCCGTCCAGCTAACTAGCTTAATTTAGCGGAAGTTACTAGTCACTTTGAAGGACTTGTTTGTTTTGGCAAAAATCACCAAAAACATACCGGAAGATACCGTCGCAGCTTGGGTCGTTGTATTCAGCCGCTCCTTCGGTGTGAATGTGACAGACCGTGACCCCCTTAAGACCAGCCTTTTTGCCGTGCTCGGCAAGAGCTGGCACAAGGGCACGTGGTGTGGCTGCTGCTCCATGCAAAAATACCACATCGCCTGAAATGACACGATTTGTTCATTAGAACTAATTCAAGGACCAAATTTTGGATATGCTGTATGATAATTTCTTTTGCTTTTTCAAGTGCTCATTATGTCAGTGTGACAAAATAATAACAGCAATAATCCCTCGAATATATTTTGACGACAGGAATTAACCAAACAGTAATACACCATAAAATATCAAGCCAACTGTCAAAGAGAGTGGTTCGTTCCACATAGACACCACATGGGACTGTGTCGATTGAGTAAATCTGAAGCTTCTAAGATTTGCGAGCGTATTTCGATTCGAACTCAGTACTAATAAACCAATTAACAGGAAAACAAACGTTTCTGTGTTGTGTCGTGATTTATTAATTTATTTTATTTTATTATTAATTTCATTAATAAAAAAAGAGGTAATGATTCATCAGACCCTACAACAGCATGCCATCAGATGCAGTCGGTAAAATAAACAGCAAAACCTGTTTGAAATGGAATTGATTCGAGTTCTCGTGTATAACGATTAAACTTTATCACAGAGCTGACCTACACATCCTCATAAAATTGAGTTAAGTACTTCGTCCTTTTTAAATCAACACGAAGATTTTTTTTGCCATTTTAGTATCTGTTATTACTTATATCTGGAATATATGATATTTTTCAAACATCTGCTAGCCTACGCGCAGATATCAGTTCAGAACGGAGCGAGATATTCTTCAAGATACATGGGACAAAACTCGCATAATTTTAAACATACCCATATGACTGTTTTTACAAAGCGTCCTACCTGACCACTCCCATCGGTGGTTTAATACTTCAGTTTCCTATATTCGCAGCCTGCGTAGTGGTGACCTTCGAGTCTTTCTCAGCCATTCGAAGACCTGAAGAGAAGACCCACTCACCCCTTGTCTCTTTCCTTGGTAAGGTCAGAGAGTACTAGGTTTGCTAGTTCGTTCTAAAAATAGATACATTGAACGCGACTTTGTCTCTTGCGAAACTGTGTCTTGCTAGTCGCATTGGTTGTAAATAGGGTTGCATTGTCGAATAAGTCGGTTCAAACTTTCGTAAAAATAAACTACCTTTTGTATTGTACGTGTCACTTGCACACGAATGTGAAAATAGACAAAAGCAAGTCGTGCATATCGAGTAGCAAAAATAACCGTATGATATTGAACCAGTATCGCACGTTTTTTTTTCAGTGTTCAGTTGTAGTTTTATCATTAGTTTGGCTTCATTCTACCAACACCTTTCACTTGTCTCATGTTTTCCGTCAGACTATTCGCAATACATTTTACATACAGCAAATATATTCCCTCATTTCCTACGCAAGGCTACAGCGAGGTCCCCAGGAGTAAAAGTGCATTCTTTATGGCCTACCTACTTGTAATTTTGATCAATTTTTTGAGCAAGTGCTTTCTTGTTTCGAATATCACATCAAATTGGAGGATAATAGGTTTCGGGTACTGTCAGCAGGCCATACAATTTGAAGCCTGCGAGGAGACACAAGTGCTTGAAAGTTTGTGAATTATGCCAACTTCCATAAATTAGCTGTTGTAACGTTGACAGTCTCGGACGGCTCACCTGTTTGGTGGGTCTGAAAGTCTTTCGCAAATCCATTGACTTATGCTATGTGTGCAATTATTATGTTAACGACTTAAAATGATCACACTAGAAACTTTCCTTTTTCTTGTGAGCGGTGTCTTTTAGTAATACCACACACAACTTACGATAAGTTAGCCCTTTATTCATAATAAAACAGAGCTTGCTACACTGTCCTTCTTGCCCGCTTCTACGAAACTACCTTCCAAACACGACTAGTAGTGACCAGGACCTATAAGTAGCTTCCTCTTCGTTGTCTGTCACCGGCTAAACAAACGCTTGTCCACCTATCTGGAGAAGGACTTCAAGAAGAGGTAAATACTTGAACGAGCCCTCTCAGCTGCGTACCGAATAGAAACAGCGACCCATATCACTTTTACCTACTAATAAATTTCGTGTACGTTTTAGGAGCTTTTGCCTAGAGTAGATCGAGCGCATAGTTAAAGGAATCAAACATACAGAGTATTATTAGCGATAAACGGTAAAACACTACACGCGAGTTACCCAAAGGTGCGAAAAATTCATCTCAGTTACACGTGTTAAATAGTAATACAGTTGTCGTTCTTAGCTAGCATATTACTATAGCGGAATAGAAATTGGCTAGAAGTTGCCCCGTACCGCATTCCGTTTTTCCATGGGCATGGAACGCACGTGCCTTCACTGGAGTGTTCACCCTAGTTCGCTTGTCTTTTTCTGCCGAATCGCATCGAATCGAGCTTCAGCATATACTGGTTCAACTTTGTCTATTTAATGATCAGAGTCTGTTGGCCTAACAAACGAGCTTATCAATCTGCTTAACTTATGAAATGGTGATAGCTTTTTAGGCTTTGTGTAATATTAATCAGAAATCTTCGCGTTGATCGTGGAAACATATCGTTGTTTCTATGTTCCGAGGTCCATTAGAAAATAAGGGCACAAAATTTTACAATATATAATCAACAGCGATACCGCGATTGTCCCTCAAAAATCATCCCCTTATTATAGAGGCATGGATTCATTGCTTACCTTTTTCGTAGTTTTCGCAACTGTTATAACAATTTTAGATCGCCATATAAAGAAAATTACAATAATCAGTTTTCGTCAAATAAACCGTTTGTTTCTATGATGTAAATAGAATTCATTTTGATCCATCACTTACTGTGCCTAGGAATATGAACCCAAAGTTGAATTTGAATTGAACATTTTTGAATTGCAACCCTCTCTCTCTCTCACTCTCTGAATTGGAGTTAACACGATTCTACAAGATTCTACTGGATAAAACCAACAGTTCTACGTGTTAATAGATAACGTAGTTAACGTAGATAATTAACATTTAACGTGGGCTTTACCTGATATTTGAACCTTTTTCATGACTCCGCTTATCTGAAACGACCCCTAACGAGCACTGTAGTAAACAGCTAGTCGGCGTGACGATTATTGTTAGCAATGTATTTGTTATACTGCGTAACCTCATTTATGAGATATGATTTCGAACATTAGCGATGTGCGCAATTTCTACATGCAGTTTTTGGTATAGGTATGGAAACGCGTTGAAAGAATATATCATATACTCTTCTAGAGTACATGATTAGATTTAGAATCTAATCAGCACAAACGGATTAGACGAACAAATCAAAAGCCCACAACGCTACCCCCGCCAAGCAAGGCTGGCTTCCCATAAATAATTGTGTCAAGCCACGAGACCATCACTTCATAGCGGGTTGTTTCGATCCAATATAAGAGATAGACTGTTTCAGCCCAGTTGAAGCGTATTATTCTATTACAAAAGATTATTTCATAGAAGATACTTTTCCACCTACCCCACGGACCGCATGAGTCAATGCAATCACCATAACGAGTCATATTGGCGATATATGGACTTAGTTCCTAGCTGTCACTCGTGCAATAATTAGCGTAAGAGGCCTCATATAGCCAAGAATGAATATCACTGAATTAATGCATTCCATTGTAATTACTGCTAAGAATAGAAAATGTATAAATTGTTATCATAATATAGTCGTGATATGATGGTAGATTTGTCATAATTGATGCAGCCAAAAGTACTAAGAACAAATATTGAACAATAAGTAGACGATACCAAGCAATGATTTACCGAATTTTTAACATTCGATTCGAGTACTACTGTCGAGGTTACCTATCGTTCATGATGTACCTGTTTTCAGTAGTTCTAACTAGGCTTTTTCCCCGAAAACGTATTTAGAGTAGTATATATCATTTTCTTTAATTTGAAGTTGAAAATATTACCGCTACTTGTTTCTCATTGACCATGACTGAGGGAACATTATAAGACTATCGTGCAAAAGGTCACTTTACTGTTGTTGCGTTACATCTAATAACGCACACTATTCGACTATTCACGAACACTTAGTCACCTATCCAGCCATTTGTAGCAGTAAAGCAACCTCACTGTATCATCACGTTTTGCAAAAATCTCTTTAGATAGGGACAACAAAAACAATGCTTAAGAGATGGACAACCAATCGGTTTTGTCCACAGGAGTAACATTTTAGCAAGGAATTGACTATCGAAGTCCAATACTGATCTGTGTAAAGACCGTGCCCTTTCACTGGCCGTCAAGCGATGTCCATCGTTTGAGATCGTTCGATACGAAACGCGAAATGGTAGTGTGTTTTTGCTGCTTCCGCCCATGGAATGATCATGGCATGAAACTTTGTCGATGCATGCAAGGCAACAGTCTTGATGACTAATGCCAACGTCAAAATACACTGTCTAGCTAATGGCAGTTATGCTTATGATTGGCTCATTCTGATAACAGTATCACAGCACCCTGATCGTGAAATCACGCATAAGTCTTTATGCAAAGGAGCGCTCAAAATAGGTTTGCTCAAAACGAAGGTGGGTTTCTATGGAGATCACTCATGCTTTCTGGCGCCTAGGAAGCGGGGAACCAGGCACAACGGTAACTATAGTTCAGTGAATTGTACGAGCGAGAATATTAACATCGGCAAGTGCAAATTGTTCGACACGTACATGCAGTAATTTAAGTTGTTCGTCGGGGAGTGGAGTGTCCTCACAAAGGGAGTACAGTAAAATGACGAAGGAACTGAAATTATTGTAATTGAAATATAATTTTTAACAGTCGAAAAAAATATTTTGATTAAAAAAGACGTAAACGTAATTAAAATGGAAATTTTGCTTAGAGAAACCTCGTAGCGACCTTTGTTGGCAGATGTGAATTAACTACACGGAAGTCGAATAACGATGGAATATAACTGAGCGAAGACTAACATTCGTTTCTAACCACTACATAGTACCGACTGATCTATTCCCTCATAGACAATACATGCAAGTTCTAGGAACCGTTTCTTGTTAAAACATGCTTGTGAATAAGTACACAACAATATTGCGTCGCCAAAACCTTGATAATAAAAAAAGCAGAATAAATTATTTCAAAGGTGCAAATTACTTTGCACTTTTGAGATACTTTGTAAAAATTTACGTAAAAGTCGTCGCACTTTTTCCGGAAAAGGAAATTCAAATGATCCTTTCATGTTCCTGGCATAACCACAGAGATAATGCAATTACTCAAATGCTGGTGACTGCTGCTGCCGTATCATAAAAAAAAGCAGAACTGGTTTGGGAGAAACTGACCCAAAAACCAAAAATACACTTAATGAACAGACGCCCATTGGCAATCACAGAGCTGACAAAATTTTACATTACAAATATATAGTGACGTTGACTTGGAACTATTAAATGAATACGTACGTCTTTGTGTTCACTGCTTTAATCAACTTACTTACCTGATTTTACTACACTAACGGCTTCATCGGCGCTGACTGTTTTCGGTTTGCGATCCAGAGCCATGAATGGCTCTCGCGAATAATTATACAATCCACGGTTCAGCGCTGCGGGGCTAGTCCGCGTAACAGTTGCGCTTAGGAGGCCACATTTCCGCGCAACCGCAAAAAGCATTGTTGTTAAGAATAAAACAGGAGTGTAGGGTCACTATTTTAGAGTGTAGGTATTTACTTGTAACGTTTTCTGTTACTTTCATGCACCACTGGCTTGCCCGACCACTCGTCAACTACGAGCAAACACTGACGACTGCTGCAGATCACAAGGTCCACGGAAGGCTGACTGGATGATCCGCTAGCAGACGACGTCTATATGAGAAGTCTCCGATACAGACATCCACGAGGATGAACGCATTACCGTTAGTGCGTGGGACAATGCGCGGGATGCTCGCTTGAGTAAACAGATGAGTGAGTGGTGGAACAGTCTGACTTGGCCCTTGCCACCTACACAATAGACCTTAACCTTTTAGTTTCGTGCTGGGATCCAGCCATCTGAAGTAATTAATTGTTTGAGTAACAGATGTAAAACACGGTAAAAGCTACAGAATAAAAATAGATTAACGTGCAGGCAGAATCCAATATTTCCATTAAGTTTTCTGGAAGAGACAAGTTGAAGGTATGGTTGGTTGCAGTTCCGAAAGGTTAAATACGTGGATATAGCTAAATTTTTGAGCTCAGGTTGATATTTAAATTGTACTTAAAACACATTTGTGAAAAACCTTTGTGGTGAAAACCTTTTAAATGAAGACAAAACCATAGATAGGGAACTTTCTCTGTTATGTCCTATGACGTTATGAGATTTCCTTTAGTTGTTGCATCAAATTATAATTTTTTCAATAAGATTTATTTATTTGAGCATACGCATTTTTTCGTGCTCTGCTTACATACTAAAACCAATTCTTTGTTGTAAACAAATTGTTTATTGATAAATAAATACGGAATATAATGACGTATATTGGATACATCGCTCCATATTATCTAGTAAATTAACACAGCTATGTTCCATGAAAAGGACCATAATTCATTTGAAGTCAAGCGTTAATTAAACGGTGTATTACTGAAGTAAGCAGAAATGTAGGGTATCTTTGATAAAGTACTGGACTTTGCGCATCTTGTCGAATCAGACATATAGTAGAATTTTGGAAAGCAAACCTGCACTCTACCGTCGCTGGTCATAAGCTCTGATATCTTTAGCATTAGAAAAACTCTGATTACACTCGTCATGTATTCATTCACTATAATGTTTTCACAGTAGAATGCACAGCAAGCAGATGTTGCCGACCAAAATCAGATCTTAGATCAGAGATTGTACGCTAGACGGGCGTATTTAGACAATCCCAACGTGAAGGTAATTAAGCAGTATGGCTTCAGGCATCGCGTCATTGTTTTTTTCGAAAATATAACTCCAACACCATACTTCAGTTTCACCTTATTGGACCTAGAAGCCGGAGTAGTTTTAAAATAATAAAATGTATGTATTAAGCTTTATCAGTTTATCTAGTATCCTATAATACAAGACTCTAAAACGAACAAATTCAAATTTGCTTGCATATTCAAAAGTTTTCCGAAGATTAGTTTATACCTAAACAGAGGCAAACCGTAATCTCATTCCTGTAGAATATTAAAATTATCTTTGTCACGCATTTTAAACAATCTTGAAGTCCAACATCATGAGTTCAACTATTAATAGGCAATACGCTAACTGATTTTACTCCAAAAATATAACACAAAACAATAGGGACACACGCTGGTTAATAGTCATCAACTTAACTATCAGAACTCTTAAAAGTGAACTTTACCGAATCCTCCTATTGTCAATGACTATTTTGATTAAATCTTTTCTGCGAAAAAATTTATTTGATCTTCATTGGCAAGTTGTAGGTGAACTATACACAACTTAATTTACGTACCCATCCGATCCAACATGTATTGCAAAGGTAAGGAAGCAAGATTGCATCTTGTGGATTTTGTACGACCTATCTGCTAACAATTAAATAGTTAGAATACAAACTAGACAATACTATCGAGATGCATCGTAGATATACTCAAAAATCAAACTGATTTTTACCATTTGCAAGCTCATAGATTGGTTAAATCAATAGTCAGTTTAATTTTGGCAACCTAGAATTCAGGTTTGTTTTATTCGTTTTTACTGCTTGAGTCATTTTTTAAATATACTTCTTTTATTATACAATTCAACACTCGCGCATCAAAGGACATCTGCAGCTTCATCAACTTGGCTCCAGTCCATTTTGTTCTCCATATATATGATGTTACTATGTTACTATTGGGGTGCTTTAGTTGTTGTCACATTGCTAATTGACGTTTAGTTATACATGATTAGATTCGGTGTTCTCACTGTTGTTACTTCCCACTTGATTCCTACCGTGGTCTAAGCTATGTGTATTTTTAGCGCCCTGTTTTGCATTGCGGTTAATATTATCGTCTGCTACTTAACATCGGATCGAGAAATATTTGGTATACAAATTTGCGCCCATAAATGAAGCATCTTTTTAATTACATTATACCGTTTCGTGAAAACTTCGTGAAAAATCGCGTGATTCATCGATGTCAACACATTGTTCAAAATCAGCGGTAATCTACAAATATTTTGACGTATCATTTAGCTTCGTGCACGTATGCATATGTTTATAATCTCTATACAATACAATATAGTCGCTACGTAACTTCGATCTAGTCCAGGACAAATTCGAGTCTGAGCACTTCATGTTGATCCAGTTACTTGTCGACTTCCCAATTCGTATGTACGATGCCAATAATTTTTGTTATTCTTAATAATAATATCTAAGCGTTTTAATTTCATTATCTTGTACCTTTAGTTTGACATAAGATTTCACTTTGATTCGTTTCGAATGTACCGTCTCTCCAAGTCTGTGTAGTGTATGACAGAGTTCTGATAGAACAATAGATTTACAGATACAGAGCTCAGACGGCGCTGAGAACACAAAATACCTAAGAAGACACCAGTTCCTGTTTCAATATTTGCAGGCTGACAGCGGCACCCTGATGAAATACGAAACAAAGCAGCCCCTGACGGACGTCCAGTATTCCTTACATTTTGCTGTGTAAACATTAGAGGTCAGGATTTAGTCTCCTTTCATCGTTTCCCATTACCGAGTCATTACACATTGGGATAGCGTATCGGCTGGATCACGCCTCCTTGTGGTAGATTTCCAGTAGATACAATAATGCCAACAGAAATAAATGATTGACAGGGAATGAGATCCATAGCGATTCCAACATCTCCCGACAAAAACACGATCACAGCTTTACAAAATGACGTACAAATATAATGGGGCACTAATCAGCACTTGCATCGTAGAAACAGGTTGAGTGGATCAGTCTTCTATCTAAATTTGAACAAATGTAATAAATCTAAGCAGACGTTGTGGAAATCTATCCTTTTCGGGAAATGGTACTTGTTGGAATTTAGTTATCTCTCTGTACACCGAGCCTTCATTGAACGAGAAACCTTTAGCGTAAAGATTACGCATCGATGCTTTTGTCAGGCCAGAGACATTTGTTTGATACACTCTTCGGTATACAGCTAGCTACATTCTACGTTCTATTCAAAAACCGAAGCAGCGCTTAGAAAAAACAATTCAATTACTAGATATTACAACGTAGAAAATGCGTCGTGAAACATTTGTCTTGTGCGCCGATCGCTCATTGTACGAAAGTTCTATTCTTCTAAATTCTGCTGCAATACGGGAACAAACATACTCTCACCACAGGAACTCATATGCTGGCTTTAGTGATTTCAAAAGCTGCGGTCTACTGTTCAACTCCGAAATGGAAAGCTCACAGAAATCCTTAGCGATATTTTATTCGGTTAGAACTACGTCTCAAAACCAGCCGTTATTGCCTTACAATGCCCCGATATGGAACCTAACTTCTTTTATATTTCCAAATTTCAAAAAAATCCTAGGAAATCCTGCGGCGTTGAGTGATACAGCAACCTGTGCGTTTGGGGGCCGATTTAACTAGAAACTAAATTCCGGTGAGCACTTAGCCGGTGAACAGAGTCGTAAATTATGCTAACAAGGCAAACACGATGGTCATTTAGTCTAGATCCACGATTGATTTCATTAAGACTTTAGATGTTATCATTTTGAAGCTTAAATACACACTTGAAAATAAGCGCGGAACACATCTTTCACTGTAAAAGCTAATGATAACACAAGGTATCTGAGAAACAATAGAACACATCAGCATCCAGTAGAAAACAGGAGACATCCGGTATGTTAGAAAAGCGTTACCCGTATAAAAGCATCAGAGTAACGTGACTAAGTTTATACAACAGAAGACGTACAGCAAGAGGAAAAGGAGCAGGTATCAGGAGACCATTAACTGAGCAAAACGATGTCTAAGTCCGCAGATGATGGTTTCTATGGAATGCAATGCAATACAAATTAAGTAAGAATATGGTAAAACAGTAATAAATCGAAACGAGAGAACACCGGTCAACACTCGCAGGGAGGCAGTAAAGAGTAAATAAATCATAGGGAAAAAACTAACTGTGGAGGCAGGTTCAATACGTTACTCTCACGGACGATGCAACAGATAAAAGGAAGCTGCCATGATGACTAAAACAGAACAAGCTTTCAATGTACTTACTACCGAGGGAGAAACATGTTAATTGTTCTGTTATGGATAAACTGTGAAGGTCCACCGAAGCTGACCATTGACGCGAATCGCATGGAACTTCGCTTTATCCAAATAGTCCGCTATATCCAAATATTGTCAGGCAGTAATCAGTTATTTGATTCGCTATACAAAATATAACTAATTCAAAGTTAAATCTCTCAATAAATTAGAGAAAATTTCCTATACATTTGAATACAGGCGATTTGAACTCCTTTCCTCGCTTTTTATCTGCCACCACATGTCATTGTAATCACTTGGACTAGCCAAGCGTTTTAATATAATTCATTACTGTGAAATGCTCTTGAAAGCTCACGCACACCCTTCAACGAACTGTTTTTGATAAGCGTCGTTGCTATATAATGTAAAACACAATGAAAATAACTTGACGAATGGTACCAGACACTAGTTACGTGAAATGATCATATACGGATGTATCGACAAACTAGGATTCGGTATTTTCTCGCTCATTGCCAATGGATTGAGCCACTGCATTCGTGTACTAAAGGAGAACAAACGTTAATTTACGGCCTAAATAAAATGGGTCGTATCAACGCGTTTAACTGACGCTATTCCGTGATATTACCGACGGAATCGACTGCTGTTTATCGTACGCCTAAGCGACAGGTGCCGCTACCCTGAACTTGTCATTTCAGCTGTCTACGTCAGCTGAGACCTATCGGTCCTTGGCGTTATCTTGCTCGTCTTTATGGTGGTTCTTTTCCATTGCCATTTTTCGTCGCAAAGCTTCACGTTCACGTTCAACGACATTTTCCTTAGCTCGCCATTCTTCGACATTCTGCTTAATCGATTTCGTGTTGTTCAGTACGAACGAATCGGGCTTACCATAGTCGGGTGGATTCGCGGCAGGGTCGTAGCCTAAAAAGTGGTACAACAGTGCCGAATAACAGAAAAAAGAAATGGAAAACCCTATTAGTTGGTACTGGTGGGCTATTAGAATTATCAAGGAATTAATCCGCAAATGTCAGCTTGTTTTAATGCGCCACTGTCATAGCTCTATGACTTGACGTGATTTTAACCGAACTGTTTGAAATGTTACCTCCCGAACTTAGTCATTTTTTTTGTTGTATCTCACGACCATTAGTCATTGTGATTCTGTATGTGAATCTGTATAAAACTGGGCATAGTGAAAGAAAAATCAAATCGAAGGACATGGTTGATTTCCACGTTTAGTAATACATACCTACCACGCTAGCTTAATATACATCGCGCATACCTAAATATTCCAACATGGGCGCAATTAGTGCCATATCCTTGACGACATCTTTGGGAATCGCTCCGACCCATTTCGAAAGGGCTTCCATGTTAATTGGTTTGATCACCTGATCTGTCGATCTTTCCAACCTAGTCAATAAACAGAACAAAGCACCAGCAATATGACAGATGCACTTAAATATCGCTCAGTTCAAGCTTCGATTTCTTGGCAAAATCGCACAACGGTGCATAGTCCGTGAACATTTGTTTTATTTCAGCGTATTACAATGATTTTTGAACGAATTTGACGTTTAAACAAGCGTAACTAGTAACCGAGCGATCTGTCTATACACAGCGCCGGACAGCATAAGACATTCAGGAATGATACATAACTTAAAACGACGACCGTACAACCTATGAATATCGCTCGCCCTATTGAGTGACATAGCATTGCACTGCAGCTTACATCGAGAGTGAGATTCCTCCGGGCTTGTTAACCAGCTTGTCGTGACGAAGGACATCATCGCTCCACGGAACGTCAAGAAAGTTAAGGATCTTTTCGAGCCAAGGCCGCGGGTGAAGTACAAGTTGTTCATAATATACTGGCAAACACCTAGTTAACAATAATGTAGTAGTTCAACAAATAAAAACTAGGCATAAATTACGATCCATTTTTATGTAGCCATTTTAGGCAACAATGAATTTAATTCTGATACTTTTTTGTGTTAGTCGTATTTCATATCTTTCAAGCTTTATTAAAAATTACCAGTCCATTAGTTTGAGGCCACAATATATTGGAAGTTCTCATTTGACCTTACCATTTGGTCCCTAGTTGTTGACATTGGGTGTACATGCTCGTCATTGCCTGGTTCCACTTTTTCAAACATTGTCGATAACTCGTCAGATCATAACCTGTTATAGTCACCTGAAAAATGTATGCGATCGCAGAACAGATTCCAGCACACGTCCAGTAAACAGTATTTAAGTTTTTATAAAAATGCTCCATTTATAGTTTCTACTTCTAAATAGAATACAGCATGTGTAATAACAAAAACGTGCAGTCCATGGGACACGTACTTTTCGTGTAATGATTGAGTGAACGACTGCTCGGCCATCGCGTATCATTAGGATGAATTTGGCTTTAGGGAAAAGCTGATGTAGATATGTTGCCGCTCGTAACGTGAACGGGTCCTTGTTACACAAACGAGGTGCAGGCTCCCCATGACGGACGATCACCTAGGCACAGAATAAATCACGAGCGGTGAGACGAAACTTTTGTCGAAAACGATGTCTCCTAGGGTGGTCAAACCTTTGTTTGATCTACAGATCAAGCACGTCGTAAGGAAAAGTCAGTAAGGAGGCTGACGTCTATGTAACGCACAAAGCAATACCCACAATAAACAAATGGCAGTTTTCGTTAAGACAGGATGAAGCTATACAAACGGGAGGCGAAGGATTGATCTTTCAAAACTGTGAAGGTGTTACCTCAAGGATGAAGGAGGAAACAGCGCTATCGATGACCTCGTTGGTGATACCGCCCTCGAGAAGGCGGTTCATCTCTGTAGGGTTTTTCGTCCACTGCTGTTTCATACTCAGCAGCCTTTAATTCGATTATTCGATCATCGAGAGCCACAGTTCGAATCGGTGGAACGTGTAACGAGATAAACGAGTAATAATCAGCCACGGACATATTCGATGCACACAAATTGTCGAGAGACTTGAGTGCCTTTACATATTATTAAAAGTCTTTAGAATAAAGACCTTAGATTAAGAGAATATGTATGAAACGCAACTAGCACTTCTTCGACTTTTATAGATCCATTATGACCGATTGTAAAATGCAAAGTTCGACCGTATCTATCCATATCCTTACGATACCTATCTGGTGTAAATCAATCTCTGCTTGTCAAGATCCTTAACTTTACGTTCAGTCGGCCTACCTGGGGATGATCCTAGTCTCTTCTCCGCAACGTACATCCGGATGGGCATCAAGAAGTACTCGAATAAGGGTTGTTCCACTTCGTGGCATTCCTCCGACGAAAATTAGCGGCATATCTGTATTGTATTTAACACGTGCTCCACTCTTGTTCGTGATAAGTCTCTGAATAAATAGGTCAAAAAGCATACACACGCCGTCACAAATACAAAACATTAGTCGTTAGAATAAAGATGATGTCCAAAATTCAGTTTACATATGTATCGTTACATGGAAAATCTAGACGGCTTTCGAACGCAATCTCCGGAGAAATATATACATCAATTCAAATACAAGAAACGTTGTATCAATTTGAAAAACTAGACTTACATCGCTTGCTCTATAATGAGCGTCTATTGTGTCCCATGTGCCCCCTGAACCGTATCGTCCGCAAACGCTCCGACAGAACCACCCTGGCGGTAGCAGCACATAAAGAGCGAGGCATAAACCTGCCAGGAAAATCACAATCGCCCAACGGCGAGAATGTAGCATCAGCAAGGCCACCGGAATTCCACTCCCTCCATTGACACCGCCGAATCGTATCTGAAAATTTCGATAAACATCGGAAAAGCACAACATCCTGATTGCGTCAATCAAACATGCCGTAGGGAAACTTACCTCTAAACAGGAGGACCATTTTTCATGACCAGCCATTGTGGTAATTCTAAATGAAAAATATATCTGATATCATTCATCGAAGCATATTCATATCGTTCTATTTAAACCTGTTAGCGCTAATATACTAAAAAATCATGCAGAGGAAAAGCGTACGCCACCCTTTTAAAATCTGTTTCTAACATTGTCAATACTGACAATTTATCACACACCATTAGTTTAACGTGTATAGAGGCGTTTTTCTTTTATATATATATACCATAATCAGCATCGATGTTACATACGTATCCTGCATTACTTTCGCTTATTTTAGTCATCTGGAAAGATTTCCTTCTAGATTCTTGGACAATCAGAAAAATGGCGTGTGCAGTAGGACTGTTCAATCTAAATCGCGTCTGAAGAAAGTTCTGAAGTTTATTAACAGACGCCTATTACCTGAATATTGTACGAGCAGTTTAAATTATGTAGATAGAATATCGAATTGATCTAATAATGCTAGTAATAGACACGCATCCTGATATAGAACGAATTAGACGGAATAGAAGGTAAAGTGTATTCGCTAAATAGACGTACCCCACTTATTAAACAGATAGGAACAACGTTGCACAAGCTGCCAATAAACGCATGCGGAATAATCTATTCTTTAAAAAGCTCTAAATAGAAAGCGTACTTTGAGTGAGGATGCCATCGTGCCGCCGTGGTATAGCTGGTTCGCCTTGGAATTGTTGTAACTAATGTTGTCCTGGGCGGAGATCTTTTCGGCCGAAGACAGCGATACTAGACACTCTTCACCTGCCTTCAGCTTTACACCACCTTGACCGGAACCCTTCAACGTAAGATCGCAAAAACTTAGGGAGATAATCATGCATTTGATCTATATATTTATACGTATGCTTACTTTCACATGACACATAACTAATCATTGGATGTGTTTCGATTTGTATGTGCTTGAAGAGTAACTTCATATGGAAACCGACGTCGTTATCAATGCTTGTAGAAACAAGCGCGCAATTTCCGAACATGATCTGGCTTCAATTGTGTATGTTGAGGGTAAGACGTTATCATGTGGTTGAAGAGAATTCGAACAAAATACGATTGTGTGAGAACCGCTCATATTAGATTCTATATTGCTAGAATCGATAAAAAGTAAGTGGATTGGTCTTTGAACATAACATCATCAAGGATCGCCGAATAAGGAGGTTATAAGAGCTCAGGGCTAACCGTTCTCGTTTCGTGTACTCACCGTTATCACACTTAGAATTTACCTCGAATTTTTACTCTGAAAATACGCTGAAAAGCTAGGAAAAGACTTTCTTCGGTAAATTATAACTAAAGTCAAAAGTGAGACCGCCGACCGCCACTCGCTTGATCGGATTACCTATATTAAGATCATACGATATGTGCACTGCGCCACATAACCAATATGGCTGCAGCTGTGAACGGCCATATGGCCAAGATTCGTGGGTGTATTTTTAGTGTGGTTATTTTGCAATAACCACATATACGAGACGTACTATAAACAAACTGGGAAACCAATAAGCCTTAGTTCTGTGTGTCCTAGCTGTTGTGCGGCCCAGTTAATTTTCGTTCCTCTACTGGAACAGCCCAAACGCGTTGCCAAAGCGCGTTTCACCCCCCACCCCTTCTAGCCAGAAACCCCATGGCTAGCTAAACAAGTTTTCTTTCTGTAACTCACCTACAATATCTACTGTTGACAGGCGAAGCCGGACCCAAAGCAAAGAAGCGTCCCGCTATGTCAGTCACGTCCAAAGAACAACATACATTGGAATAGTCCCTGCTGCTGTCTCTGTAGGTTAGACTAATCAAGCTGCCATCGCCTGATCCGCTAACACAAAAGGCAGTGCAAGGAATTGCCAAATCACGCTACGTAATCACCCGGCCCAGGGTCCACCTGTAGGCCTGCTCTTTCCTGCTAAATTCCGGAATCGTACCATTTGGGTTGTCTTTGTGACCGGGTTATTTCACACGAAGGACAACATACACGCTTTACTTTACATGTCGCTGAATGAAACTTAACATTGGGAAAATGACCCAACAAAGCCCACTTGGTTTAGTTTAATGGAGAAAAAAATATAATAAAATAATAAACTGCGATAAAAACGGCAAAACCACAGAAATGTATTTGCTTATTGATTTACCAGTAGCTTTACGTCTAAAGCTAATTTTGTTTACTTCAACCACGATTCGGTTAAGCTCAAAGAAGATATATATATATTCTCTAAGCTTAAGCGGATCGTATATATATAGGGCCGACGTTATCATATTTTTACATGAAAAGCCTGTCTGCTCAGGGAATTAATTCCTATAGGCTGATTGGTCTGCGCAGGCGTCTCTTTTTTATCCACTTTAACGCAGGTAAAGCCTTTGTTTATCTCGAAACGAAATATAAAATTACTCATTTGTGACAGTTATCTTATACAGCTCAATAAATTACAATGTTCATAAATGAACTAATTACATGGCAACGTCTAGGGATTTTTATGCGCAGACGTAAGAAAAATCAGTTTCTTTACCCTTTACTCTTTGCCGGTATGAGAAAAAATCTAAACATCTATGTACTTATTATGGAAGCCATATATGCAGTGAGCTCAACACTATACAGAAGCTAAATCCAATCATACGGGACAGTACTCAGTTTTAATAAAGTAGTTTAATAAAACTTTCATTTGACCAAAGCTTAACATTGAAGGACGAGACGTATTTGAGCGTATTAAGACAAGAGAAAGTTTACCAAGAACCCCAGATAATTAACTGCGTGGTGCATATTGAAGTTAGAGCGTACTTGACTGTGACCACAAGGGGTGTGTGAATACCGTGTTATCAACGAATCGAAGGCATATATGTGCCTACACATCGTAGAATAACTAACACAATATACGGCGCAGACTTTCGTTTCGTTCAAACTTTGTTGAATATCGGAAACTAATAGGGAAGAGCTCGCAGAGGGAAAATTTAAACATATAGCGGGCAGTATTAGATGACGCCGATCCAACGAATGTATCCGCGGGCTTATGGTTCTTAGCTTGTGATTTCTATGCGTATGCGCAGAGCTTACTTGCATCATCTTGAGATCCTCTGTAATTATGATAACCAGATCAGGCCAAAATTAATCAATGGAACTTGATATTGCGTTAGGTAACTTCATCCGTATACTCCTATAGGCCAGGATTTAACGACGCCAAGCTACCACGTCCTTGGTCAACCTGTACCAAAGTCATTTAATAAGAGATGATTGCAATTTATGAAATTACAATGGGTTTTTCGATCGCCCAGCGTTATCTGCTAGCGCCGTTATGTTTTGTCGCTTTTCCGAGCCCGGCTATTGCTTTATGTTTGAATTAGAATTTGGATGCGTGTCGGCATCATGCTAGAAAACATTCAATTGCCCATCCTTGTTGACAATATCGATATCAAATTGATTCCAGTTATGCTGGCTTTATGAAGTCCCGCGTATTTTAATGTTCTATCAAAACTGTTTTCTGATAGCATTGCTATCAGTGGTGACAACTCTTAGTTCGCTCATTCACTTTTGGAAGCTAGTACCTCTTAGTGCCAGTGTCCTAATAAGTTGTCGCTCTAAGTCGTCATTACGCATAACTTACCTTCAGCATAACGTCGGAAATAACCAATCCGTCGCCTCCTCAAATGAGTCACTACACCACCGTACTATGGCCTGAAACGATACCACCGAACGTTCTTCTTAGACCGCTGCTGTTAACATCACACACACGCTATCCCTAGCCTTTTATAGTGACCCGAAAAATTTCTACCGTGGTAAAGTCTTCCCTTTCAATAAAAAACATGTCTAAAACTGTCTATAGAACGACTGGTCGATTCAACAAAATAACACAAGCCTAGTATATAACATTGTATATGATACCAGTCACGTTGTTGTTCATACTACATAAAGATGACAGCAATACTTCAGATATTTTTCGTCTAGTGTAGCCCCCTCTAGAAATGACTCCATCTATTTGAATTTAATTCGACTTGAACAAGTCCATCTATTCACGCTTCGTTATTGCTAAAATATGACGTCATCACTAACTTCGGAGTTCCATAAATTAGCTTTTGAAAAATGCTTGCTCTCCATTTCACACGGAACAGCGCATAGGGTTTTCGCGGCCATACTCGTTTTAGTATACTGATAGTATTTGCTTCTGATTATTAGAAAGCACACTGAGAATAGCTCTCAAAAGAAAGTCGATTTTTTCCTGAGAATAGATAGAACGGAGTTGGTAAGATCCCTAAAATACATCCAGATGCTCATGTAAAAAAAAAACAACGATAAACAATATCCTTATCGTGATTCAAAGTATTCGTCTTGTGTATTTATACTCGGGTTGAATGAGCAGAAACGTGGCAGATAATCCTGTATATATATGCAAGGTGTATCAAAAAATGTATACGCACTCTAGGCGATTATATCTTCAGCTTTTGTTTATATATGGCTAATATTTGAATTTCATTATCAAAATTGTATAATATATAGTCTTCCTCGCATTGCGAATGCTTTAAATTATGACCATTTACCAGCAGTAGATCGAGCTGATAACTAATTCATAAGCTCAATTGCGGCTTTTGAACCTTTCAGTGTCATTGGGTTTCAGACGTTGACCCTATCCTTAAGGCAACCCCACAAAAAATACTGTATTGGCGCCGAGTGTGAGCTATTATATGGAAATCCTTCGTCCGTTTAGTAGAGGCTTATTGAGGTTTGCTCTCACATGACAATGATAAGGTGCATATGCTTTCTTCTGTTGAAGGTGAAATTTGCACGAAGGTGCTCCTAAATCCGCAGTAAAACTAATTTTTGCAGTAAATTCAAGCAGCTGGCGCTAGTAACTGCACTGTCAAAAATAATGGCACAATTGAAGTACAGATGCTAATGTTAAGATTTATATGTCACTTTACTCTGGTAGGTAATCTTGAATGCGTAGATAACTCTAATCTAATAATACATATAAACAGTTTAGCGATAAGCGACCTGTGAATCTCCCGAATAACTAAACAGATTAATGTAAACAGGCATTTACTAAATAAATTGGGCATGATCATCAATGTACTCCGCGTACTTACATGTTTTCTTTGATAAACTTTAACATATCGCAATGCAAATCTCGACTAATGTTAGAGACGCCAAACCCTTCGTCGATTTTGTTGAGTCCACTGTATCTGGGAGCTTCGCTAGACACGCTATCGGCAGAATCACACAATAATCTAAACCCCTTTCGTACTATTACACGAATGTAACGTTTTAGCAATATAGAGCAGGAGCTTAACCTCAGTTGTATTTATTTGAACGTCACCCGGCACAAACGCGGGTCACTGATATCTGCGTGTACTGGTGGAAAGCGCTAAGACGAACCGATTAGGCAAACCGATCTGCGGGAGGTCCCTGTCATAGTTTATGGGTACCATATTTGTTTGCTAGTCTTAGAGACAGGTTATGAGTCTGGGTATGAACACGCTTCGTGTCGTTCTGGGAGCCAGTCAGCCGTCTGTCTGATGGAATGCTTAATGACAGTACCGTACGTAAAACTTGAGACATAAAGCGCTACTGGCCGTAGCGTAATGGGTAACAGAATTCGTCTAATGTCATTCATTGCAATCAAACAAAGAAACCAGATGACTTTCTAATCTAACGAAATTGATTGTGATTGAAAGTGGATAGCACGCACTTGATACACAAGGCCAATTCTTTCTACAACCTGTCAAACTGATCCAGTTGGCAGCAGGTACTGTTAGGCATGTTGAACTTAGATTAAAGGGTATACAGACGGAAGTAGGACTGTAGAACTTTTTAAGCTAGTCATATAAAGTAGTTCTCTGCCCGCCTAATAGGCAGCCGTTCACTAGGTTCTAATAACGTCGCCATAACTTGGCGGAATCGTAGATCGCATCACGCCGTTTACGCACCTGTCATGATACTCTTATTAGCGTTACCATTCAGATTCAAGATAATATTATTTGATTTTTCTAGAAACGCGTTATGAAAGAATATGGCACGGGATATCAGCTTAGGTTCGGAGTGATTCCAGCCATTGCAATGTAACTATAATAGTAATAATAATTGTACAGTAAGTTCTTGCCTGGCTTCCGTTTCACGTTACGGGGCCAAAAAGAAGGACACACCGAAAATAATTTTGTCGTATTTAATATGTAATTGCACGTTACAATGTCCTGTAGAGTCCCGATTTGATCGGCTATCATTAGACTTGAATTTTAGTTGCTTTTGAATACAGAATAATATAACAGACGTTCAGTAACAGCGAAACATTTAATTCATAATTTTCCAAGACTAATGCTTGCGACCTATTACACTGCGACAATGTAGAATAGTATAGTTAAATTCCTGAATATTACGTGATTCGCCGACACCCCCTGTGCCAGGAAATAGAAGAAACGTCCGCTTGGTTTAGTAGCTCCAAAGTGAGTACACGCTTAATGTCATCGTCTAATTACACCATGCCTATTATCTTAGATATAAAAACAATGTACCATATTTTACGAAAGGAAGCTATCCTAATTCTGTTTGCACCTGTTCACAGATAGGTTGCCAACGTGCACAGTATAGTAATGACTATCGAATAAATAACTAAACATGCTTGCTAATTAGCCATTTTTGCATATTGAGCCATTCAGGCAGTGACCTCGCTAATGGAAAAAGACCTGTTAGAAATAAACATCGGCCAGTTCACTATTGCACCATCCCCTCCCCCAGCCTTTCCTATCGCCTTGTACCTTTGTCAAAGCTTTTACGAATAGGGTCCTTGTCCTGCGCGACGTATACGCATTCATCGTTGTTTGCGACTGTCGAGTTGAACTGGCTAATGCTAACAGACCAATATATCTGCTGTGGCAGTAGAAGCCTCATTTGAGCGTTCAAAAAGGAAACAGTAACAACCATATTGTTTCGTATCGTGCCAGGACACACAGGCCTCTACCCTGAACCACATGACCGTCCACTGATTGATCCACTTCTTCACGTCTGGCAGCGAGTAATTGTACAAGCTAAGCAGCATAGGTCATCGCCGATGTTTTCCGCACAGCGGCCTGATGTCCAAGGGAAAGGCAAGCCAACGCAGCACAACCGAACGAGGTTACTATTAGGTTCAACGGGAATTTGCACTATGTGAAAAGCTACGTCCAGGTGTATATATATATATATACAATATAGTTATCATACATAGATTTCACGTACGTATTTGTACCGATGTGAATCAAGGACTCTCCGACTGCTAAGTAACTGTTTTCGAACAGATGAACCCTCTACGTATGCGCAATATAACTAGCTATATCCGAAGGCTATCCGATGTCACGATCTTGGAAACCTCATTGAATGTATTACTACAACCTGCAGTATCGAGACAGGTTTGTTGACGCCGTAAGAGGTCACACAATATTAAATGATGGTTCTGTCTTTGTGTAACGTGTTACAGATGAAGAAACATGAATTTCTCAAGCGATTCGCTGGTGATTTATTTTCGCAACGTAAAAATAGATATTTGTCCACCTACAAGTAATCAAGCTTCAGCCCTCTTCCTTTAGGAGTATCGGTGGTAAGGGTGGCGACTTAATAATAATTTTTCAATCGAGTGAGACATTGACATTTCATCATAGCCTTATCATGGTCATTAATGAAAATCATCGTAATCTGTTTCTATAAGAACGATTCTAAGCTTTACCTCTTCTTGGAGTTGGGAAGTCGAGTATGTTCTCGATAATTTATTTGAGATAAAAATGAAAGCTTAAATAACGCGGCTATTTGTGAAAAAAACGTTTAGCCGAAACACACGCCTAGCTTAAGTTAATTCGTCACAGATATTGTCGTTAAGGCATCTTTCCTTATAAATATTTCAGTCGGTTTCAGGGCAACTTCCGCCATATTACGACATGGTCAAAAATTGTTTTTAGCGTAAATAAAAATTATCAATTTGCACTTACTGAAAATGGTAACTCTTCAAAAGTGACGAATCACTTAGTAGTGGTATTGAAGTCTGCCGTGGAAGAGACAGCTGACAGTCGGCTATAAGAAGAAACACATTTGCTTTGTAATATATCTATATAAGAAAAGCATTTTCTTTTTACAGGCTTTATACTATAGTAATGGGTCACAGGTGACCAACTAAAAAAATAAACATAATTTACATCTTCCAGTTTATCTATGTTTAACTTAAATTTCAAAATTCGAAAATGTCAATCACACGTCCTGCCACAAACAGACAGATATAATATAATCTAGATTCCAGAAACCTAACCCTATCCATCAACAGGAATCCGTGATGATGAAAAGATAAAGCATTTTGACACTGTTCTTTCTATAACTAGATTTAATATTCTCGCATATGTTCCTCCTGTCACAAATAAAACAAGTCGAAAATACGAAAGCATATGGCCGAAATATAACAAGTCCCCCTTTTTTGACCACACAGAATAACCCATCAATAGTTAGCTAAGGCTTTATATTACAATTCCAATCATTGCTTTAAATCCATCTATACCGTTAAACGACACGAACCGTTATCAGGCCATTATACTTAATAAAAAGCATATATTTACAAAATATAATTTAAATATCTCGCTTTATATACTGTTGAAAAATACTTAACCAGATAAATATCTGTACCCGTCACGAATAAACTGTATTTCTATAATGTCCTCAATGTAGAGCCTTTTACTAAAATGTTTCAGATCATCTTCGAATAGCAAAAGATAGTAATCCGTTTAGAACGTCTTTTAGTGTACTTTTCGCGTCTGTTACCGGTACGTTAAACAGAAAAAGCACTGAGTACAAAGCGTTTTCAAGTCCTTTGCCAAATAACAACAGATAATCTTGTGAAAAGATAATTGTTAGATATTCATTTGCAGTCAGTTTGGATTGAACCTGGTGTCCTGGTATAATATTTTTCAATAACAAATGGAGAAACGAAACGAAAAAAAGAGATATTCTAAAGCTTCAGCGTGTTATGCAGGAACTTTAGGATGGAACTTTCACGATAAAGGGAGTCGTCTTACTTACCCGTAGGGAAGGCCATTTGATTTAATTCAGGGTAAGAACGTCTTGCTTATGGGACGTGTATCGTTCAAGACACACCTTCTAGATATGCTTAATGCCTGTCTAATGCAGCTTCGAAGACTGTGAGAGTACTGCGTATATTCTATCGCAACAATAATTGAAAGAAAGATGGAATCGAGGCTGTTTTTTGTCCCGAAATGCGTCCAACGACTTTTCGCGCCACCCGCTCAATGGGTCGAGCTGCACTTGTTCCTGATCTCTTTTTGCCGACCCTTATTTGTTAAATCTGATTAACGATGCATATTTAAATGAGTCTAGCGACACTTTGATAATACCTTTACTGCATATTGTCAAAATGTGACTTGAGTTTTTTTTCGAGTGCACGATGGCGCGCTCCAATCTTGCGTTATATGGATTTATTCGCCGACAGCAAACGATGTGATCGATATCTTAAGTCGCCATATGACCGAACTATGCGGACATGTCTCATTAACACAAATGTTTTACTTCGTTCATGTACAGGAAGTGAAGATATTCCATGATATATAAGTTAGTTGTGTTTCAACTTTTGTCAACAGGATAACACGGGAACGTGTGTGAAAACACAACGAAACATCTATTCCGTTGACATGCGATTTTAGTTGATTTGTTCTGGGCCAAAATCCAATGCCCAATTAGGTTTAAAAAAGTCACGTAGATAATTCACTAATCTCACATAACTAGTTTTCATCGAGACTTAAGATGCCACCATTGAGATTCACATTTCAATAATAGATACCCGTATTTTACATATAAAACAGCTTCGTTCGAGTCACCTACGCGATTCTGAAACGATGAATAACATACCCATATTGGAAAGGTTACCCGAAAAGCATCTAACTCGTTTTGCCTCTGCTAATAGTTCTGAACAATCTCTTTCGATGATTGTCCGGGACAACATTGGCCCAAAGAAAACATTTGTTGCAAGTCTAGTTGCCGCGTTACCTGTGAGACCAACAAAAACAAGGATTCTTGCTTTCTGTCTGCTGCTTTACCGCTTATTTGAAAGAAAATAATCGCAGCTGGGTGTTTCTAGGAAAAACAAACTGAACGAGAACATCATAGGTTACGTCAATCTACTCGATTAGGATGTTTCCAACCAAAATTTAGAGGTCCTGTCGTGGTACACACAGCGACGTTCTCAGTCACACGTTAAAATCGCATAGCTAAAACTGGTGAACGTTACTGGTATGACACACGCGAGATCAATATTTTTTAAATATCGACACCATCGACGGCAGTGCCTCGAAAATAAGTCGCAATGGTCTGGCCTTTTGCACGCGAACACTACTTGCATAACCTCCAACCACTGCACTGAGAAGTCTCCAATTAATTGTGTTGAGTTCTGGTGAATGTCCATTAACAACATAAATAAAGAACGGCCATGCTTGCACTGCCGCAATAGCAAGAATTCAAGCATAGCGAAGTTGGATAGCACCATATAACAGCGCGTAAATTCTACTTCAGCTACTTACCTACTACGCAGTTCTTGAGTTCATTTTAGATAAGATTTAAACGTAAATACTTCGCTAGTCGACGAAAATTCAGATTTGAAAGTAAGTTCCGCTATTCGTACAGGTTGTGTAGTATGTATCGTCGGCGGAGTCCGAAACAATGGCTTGACAGTGGCGTACTTTAGGCAAGTTATTCGAATACTACTATCCTTGCATGGCTATCTAGATACGGCGTTATACATTTTCTAAAGTTTTTTTTATAGAAACTTTGAGCAGATAAACTGTTTAGCTCTACTGAGGCCTATTGATTAATATAAGAAATAGACAGCGCCAGGTTTTTATGGGAAGTTCACGGGTGCTATTTTAGAAGGGACCAAGCTCCAACATAAGGAATTACTATATTATCTTTATTATTGCCTAGGTTCATTATGGAACAGGAGCACATTTGTCACTTTTTCCACATTAAAATTTCAAAGAGACTAAGAATTATAAAAGATTTATTTGTCTGTTCAACGCTACTACCTTCGAGCCCATGCTCTATACTATAATATTTCGTATTGTTCAAACTATTTCAGTCACTGGTATTATCCAAATATATTAATAGACTGTTGCAGTCAGTACAGATCCGAAAGCTTGAAGCTCTATAATGCCATTTTTAGCATTGATATTTCACTAAGTTGATTAAAGACGTCTCTAACAAATTGTTTTTACTATTTATAAGGGTAATTTAACATTTATAATACAAGGGTTGTGCCGGAAGTTAGCAGCACATAATAGCACAACATACTTCCTTGGTAAGGATATTCTGTGCAGCTCGACCCACTTAGAACAATTTATTATATTCTGCTACCTCGGGGCTCTCATGCGAAGAGGCCATGTGTAGGTTTTAATTCGCTCTGCAGTCTGCAGTGGATAAAGTGTATCTTTGTTTAGTATCACTCCGTCATCCTGGATGATGGTCATTGTTCGTCATGGATCAATTCATATTTATCTTTAACTTGTCTCATTCGACTAATCCCTGCAAAAACTTTTGAAAGAGTATTTAGTAGTATATCTACATCAGATTTCAAGCATTTTGATTCAAATAGTTTTGAATCTAGTTTGCTATATTTACGTCTAAAAAGAAAAATAGAAGGTTGATCGAACTGAAGTCATGACTTTCGTTGGTAAAATCTCTCAAAATGTCTCTACTAAAGTGGTGCCTAGAAAATTGCAACGAATTAATTATCAATAATATTCCTTAACGGTTGCCGCCACAGTTCGCGGTTGTTGAAACAATAGCGACGATGTGTGAAAGCAACGAAATTGCGAGACAAAATAAAGAACTAGGCCAGAAAAGAAGCGACGAAAAGAAGAATAGGGCAAAAAGGACCACGTGGAAACCATTGAGAACAACCGCTGTTACCACAACAAAAGCAGCATCAGTTAGCTTGCTCTCAGCATTCGGTATTCCCTTACCATCATAGGGGCCAGTAAGGGATCATCTAACGACTTACCATCAAATAGGCCACCGCGCAACCATCTGGCGTTGACATTAATAACACCCACACCCCCCTCCCGTCCCCTTCGCCGGGTCTAAATAGCAACACTTTTTCGGGTATAGTTAGCGTCGACACCTATTATTTATATCTAACATCTACTGTATACATGTAATAATGGAGGGACTCTGCCGCTGCCAGCTAGTGATCTGTTACAGGGCAGGACAGACCCAGTGACCCCGTCGCGTCTCTCGTGACTTCAGCTGTTCTTTTTCGTACGGTTAGGCTGCTTGTCGCACTTGCTAGCAGCGTCTTCATTGTTGTGATAGTGGATCGCTGGCATTGATGTTGAGTCCTATGTACTTTTCTCTGCTGAGACCGAAGCAGTAGCGAATGATGTTCCCGCTTTGTCTTCGATTGTCACCATTATGTTCGTTCCCGCTGGTTGCCAGCGACTGCCGCCACCACTGCATTGTTGGGCCGTTAGATAGCGAACGTCTGATCTACAAGTCGCTATTAAAATGTTTTTGTTATTCCCGTTGTTATAGTTCTTGCTGTCACTAGCGTGGCTAACGTTGATGTTATTCCGGTCGTTGTCTAACCTAGACACTTCTGGACGATGGCGACATTTGTTAGGAGAGCAACAAGCCGAGAAGGATTTTCCGATTGACTGTCATTTTTTTGCGTGGATGGTCTTTGAGTTCGGGCGTGCGTATCTAAGAGAGAGGCAGACATCATAATTGAGCAATGGTTTCTGTCGTGCACGCGATTGCTCCCGCTGCGCTTAGTACTACGTGGTAGGTAGTAAGGCATTGTCATTAGTTTTTACATAACCCTTCAAATAATAGAAATAGTTTATCTAGCATTTTTTAAGGAAACAAATATATGGTCATAGAAGCAATAGGCTATACTGGAAATTAAAAGTGTTGTTTTCGATAAATAACCTTTACATTCAGTGCCAGATCTGATCATAGCATTATTATCTATAATTCTAAATAGTACATTTGTGTGCCCGATATATGCCACTAGAAATGCTACA